TTGCCCTTCCAGTTGCTGGTTCCTCCACCCGAAACTGTTCACCAGCAACTGGGGGACTACTTATACCGGTAGTCACTCGGTCGCCATATCCTCGTCAGTTGAAACAGGGTGCGCCGTACAACTTATGTTGTAACTCGTGAAGGTGAGGTTGGCATTTGTATGCGGGAGGCTATATATTCGCACCACATACCTTACACCCCAACATCTACTTAGGAATATTTTATATAAATATTCAAGAACTGCATTTAATGTTTCAAATAATCGGTCATTTTCTTTTGAATTTTTTTTTGGTATGCCAATACGCATCTGGTACTTCGGCTTGTATTTTCACCATTTCTTCGAGAGGGGCATGAAAAGTATACAGGCAACCATAAAAATACGCGCGCGACATTCGGAACTGCGAAGTACGAAAAGTAGGGGGCCATTCGATCGGGAGGCGGCGCCATATGGCGCACGCGACCGGCAAAGCCGCCGTCGATGAAAAAAAAAAACACAAAACTACGCTGTAATTACGCGGCGTTCCTCTTTGATGACTTTGTTTGAGTTAACGGCCGGCGTGAAAACCCGATTCCGGCGCGTCGGACGTTAACAAATTGACGTAATGACGGGTACTTAACGGCTCGACGCGTCTAATTTGGCGACGACGTACGAGGCGGCGTCGAAAGATCAACGTCGTCGCTCTCGGAGGCGAGGATCTCGCGGAAACTTATCGAGTGTGCGTTGGAAACGCGTCAGAACGCGGCCGAGGAAAAGTAGGCCATCTGCCGGCCGATACGTGAGTGAAAGGACGGAGATGCACAGACCACGCGCGCCGCACGGACCAGGAAAACAGCCCCGCGTGAAAAAAAACTATAGTTGAGTTTTACTTGACGGCCGTATAATGAGTCATTGAATTGAATAAAGATGAACTATTTGACGATAATTCGCAAGCTAATGATATGGATCGCTGTGTACGATGGCTTGAAAATCCACTGGTGTTTAAAAAACTACTAACGGTACTAGGGCAATTATAAAGTTTTTTTGTAATAAATTAAACGACACGACACGACGCTAGACATAGAACATAACCTCGAAATCAAAGGATCCGGAGCAAGAATCGTAAACCTAGTAGGATTGCCCAATCCCATAAGACATACGTTCGCCAAAATTATCGATCGCACGTGGTCGCTATTTAAAACAGAAAAAGAATTACGATTTAGTTTAGTTAGGGATTTTTGTAAGCTGAGAACGATACTTCGTATGAACTTCAGAAATTTAAAAGCAAAATATAACGTTAGTCTAAAAAGAAAATCTTTGCAAGATGATACGAGCAGAAAAAAAAATAGAAAGTATGGTAAAATTGTAACTGAGTTTCAGTTTCAGTGAAACTAACTTCTCAATGTTATTCTTTTTATTTTTACTTTTAGTAACTTTCTATTGTTCCATATTACTGTTGCATTTATCTATTATACTATATTTAATTTATCAATGTAATTATAACTTCCTATTTAGTTTTCAATTTAAACATTTAAGAGGTTCAGTGGAGTAGCTTTTGCTAGACTTCGCCTCTTCACTGCTGTATGTTTGTATATAACAATATACAACAATAAAAATATTATTATTAAGATTTAGACTTTGAATGAATCTCTGAAGGACCTTTTTCTGGTGACTATGTTATCCGATGTTGGTTCTAAATTGATCGCTGCCGTTTGTTGCCAATGTGGTTCTCAGATGAATTTCGACAATCTTTTGGTGTTTAACATACGCACACACACACACACACACATCGACCGATTCTAGACGCCAATTAATTATGGCCGAATGTGAGAACCGGCCAAGCTAAACGCGAATTGATTGGGCTCGTCGTAGAATCATGTTCGTATTCACCGAAACGCGAGGCACAAAAGCGGCCGCGGTCGGAAACCATTTTTTATCGGGATCCGCGTTTTGTTTTTCGGTCTACCGTAAATATCGGCGCCGCGCGTGATTGATAACAATAATAATAATTATTAACGAGCTTTGGGGCCTCTTTTGTTTTCGTGGGAAAATAAAAACGGCAACGTTTTCCGTTAAATCCGCCGCTAATTGCGATCCGTATCTGCAATTAGCGCCCGAAGATAATCCGGAAGTCTTCCCGGAATGCCTAACGGGCCGGACGGTTATCGCGAAAAAACGCGGACATTTAAAAAGTTCTGCGTCCAGCCCGGCGCATCCGCCGTTTATTCGGCACCTGCAGTATACGAACGCGAAACGCAGCGTCGCCGATTCCCGACTATTTCTTTACGCCTTATTATTTACTATTATATTTTTGTTAATGATCGCTGCCCCAAACTACACATTTTTAACCTTCAGAGAGCGTCAACTTGCGTCTCCATCTACCGATCCACCTTTAAATTTAAAGCAAGCATACCCGCACGCTAGATGGCGCAATTAAAGAAATGTAACGAACCAATATAACTTCTACAGTGTAATGCAACACTTCGATATCGAATATTCGCCAAATTCACGAAGTTCTTCGTAAATTGATGTGCCGCGAATTCATTCGGTCTTTTAGGAGTTACAGCTAAGAAAAATCATTGAATCACTTCCACCACTTTCACCTGATAGAAATGTCAAAAAGTATTGAATAAAAAGTTACTCGAATAAAACTTAGCTTTTGGAAACAAGATTTCAGCGAAAAAATACTCTTAAGGTTTAAGATGGCGGTTTCGCCGCCTGCCAACCATCCTGGACATCTAAAAATAATTTCTGCGGTTTTCTTTTGGTCACTTTCATAATAAAATTTTTCACCGCAAATCTCTACGGCGAATTTTTTAAAAAATATATAAGAAGAATGAAAACAAGAAAGACGCAGGATACAAGTGAGACAACATGATTTGAATCTAAAAAATATGATATTTGAAAGGTAATATAGCAAACAATATATGATAATAGCCTTTCATTCATAAATTAAGAAATATTCATAATAAGCATCTTTACTCCTCTATTATTTTGATACAAAACCATTAAGTGCAAGTTTGTAACCTAAACTAGTCACGAAAATTTGTGTTCATTTTCAAACGAACACTTCCTCTGATTTTGAAAATATGTTGTAACTAAATAACATGCAAAAGTATTTTTCTATTTTTCTAAACATTCAACCACAATTCTGTAAGAAAATCACCTGTTCTAAAGTTATTTTTCATGACTGGGAATCCCATTTAAACTGTCGTCAGGAAAATGTCTATCTGGTTCGCAAAAAGTGATTCTACAATGTAGACAGAAAAACCAAGCTTCATTATGCTCTATTTACCTTATATCAAACTCCCTGCCTGAGCTATCTGCAGAGGCATTATTTTTGTGTCCCTAAAAGTTAAACTTGTTATAATTCAATTTCATCACTGCCAGTTTTAATAGTAAGATTTCTTCTTCTAATTATTGTATAACTAGGACCCAACCGAGGCCTAACCATTTGAACTAAAAAATGATCTGCTTCAAAACACACATAACCTCTAAAGACAAGTAGGTCAAGTCCAGAACCGTCGTGGTCTGTCGTAGAACTGTTGAATGACATTTTGAGATGTCAAATGAGTGGACGAACTTTTTCGCAGTAGGTGTTGCACAAGAATCGTAAACCTATCGATCGCACGTGGTCGCCTGTGATGTAAGCGAAGTCCTTTAACGATTTTTGTGTATTCTGTCAATGCATTTGAAAGCGTATTAAACCGTTGTATTTTGTGTTCTCTGAACAATTAAAATAATTTAAACTAGTGAGTAGTGGGCTTATGTTTGTGTTAATTGTATTTCTGTAAAAAAAAAACTTGGACAAAACAGTGTTTTTAAGCTTTAACAAATAGTTTAAAATGTATGTGCTTTAGTGGCGGGAACTGAGAAAAACAGTATTTTTAACCTTAAACAAAGATTTAAAAGTTGTGTGCTCGTGCTGCTTATTAGCGGTGTTATTAGTTATGAGGTAAACTCCAAATATTACTTACACATAATAATATAGGTAAAGTGGGATAAGTTACATCAAAAAATAGTTAGGTATGCCTGGAACATAAAATAAGTACTAAAACTTCCATACAAAAGTCTAATTATTACGCACTTAGTCGCCTAGTGGCTGTCCGCCGAACTTCGCCACAAAGATTCCTCTCCGCGCTAGCAGATGGCGTCGCGGAAGGATCGTCGGCGTTTGACGCGGCGCCATTAGATGGCGCGGCGCGCCGAATTGCTTCGGCAAATATTGACCGTGCCAATGGACTCGCGCAAACAGCAACAAATTTCCACGTGACGATTTGCATAAACTATGCGGTCCGAAACGTTATTCAACGATTATTTGGGCAAACGGAAAAATCGGTATTTGCCGGAACAATTTCGATCTGTTTGGACGTATTTAAATAATAGACAAACGATTTGTTCGCCAGCGACCTTGGCCCCGAAATCCTTTCCAACTTTTTCTTCTTCAGTCCCGAGGCAGGTAGCTCGTAATTGCCGAATTACGAGGTAATTGCCGTGCAATTTCCCCCGCCGCCGTGTTTAAAGGCTCTATTGCCCGGCGTGACGTCGGAATCGCACGCATCGCATCGGGCGATCGTACAGGCCGACCCGCGCGCGCCTTTAAGGGTCCAGAGGAAATGCAGGCGGCCAGGAAATGCGACTCGTTTATCGTCGGCCATGGAAACGCAAACAGAACGTGATACGCTGAGAGAAAACGATACCAGTGGAAATGACTACAAACAAATCTTTTTGATGATTTTGATTTGGATAAAAAGTAATAATGTAACATTAAAAAACATTCTAAAAAACCTTTCGTCGAATCTATGGAAAAATTTAACAAACATCCAGCCCAGCCAAAAACAAGAGAATATTGAAAAGCGATGAATATCGTGATTTCAAAACTTTACTAAAAGTTACAACCAATCCCAATATTTCCACAAACGGAAGAGTTTAATGGACAAAAAAATACAACGTAACGGAAGGTTCAAACCACTTTTTTCATTTTTATTATTTTATTAAACGTATAATATACAGGGTGGTAAATTAAAAAAAAAACATATCTTGCGAATAGCTTACTATTTTTTGAACAACTCTTGTATTTTTTTTATAAATGATCGAAAAAACGCACGAAATGAGACATACGAAATTTCTGACTGTCGAGGATTTCGTCGGAGTCGGCTGGGTATCTCTCAGCGTACGCGAGGGGTGGGGGAGACGCGCGACACCGACGGACAGTGAATCAAATAAATCGCGCGGACGAGCCGCCCGTCCACGCACTGCACTTCCAGGAGTTCTGGACGTCGAGACGCGCCTGTGGGTTCTTCGTTTTCTTCTTCCTTGCGGGTGAGTCTGTGCGTGATACGAACGCGCGACAGCGCGAGCAGCGCCATCTGTGACCGCTACGTCGCGTTCTTCTTCTCGGGGGTTGTTTAGATCGCGTCGGCCTTGGAAATTCGTCGCTTATATGGTCCGCGATCCACGGCCGCCTCGTCGTAGTCGCGCGTGGCCCATTATCGCATATAATTGCAGTTAATTTTATGCGACATGCAAATGTTTCGCGTCCGCATCGAAACAATAACCGCGTTTGCCGTGGGCGGGTCGTCTTCGACGACACTTATTCCGAAATAAATCCCGGCAAAACGCGTTTATTTTAAAACGCCCGCGATGATCGATTATCGCGCCGGGATAATTTTAGATTTTCACGTTTCTTTTTCCCGCAGGACGTCAGCATGCCGCTCGAGTGGGGCTACGGCCGGGAGAACGGTAAGTGGAGCGTCTCTATTTTCGAAAATAACGCGATTTATTAAAAAAAAAAACCAAAAAACAAAACGCGCGTCTTGGCAACGCGAACGGTTCGAGAAAACAACGAGAATAACAAGGTCGCCCTTCCGCGATAAAGCGGCCGCCCTCGGCGATGAAAGGGCCGCCCTTCGCGGTAAAACCGCCGCCCTTTGCGGGAAAACGCGCCGTTTTCGTTTGCGGCCGTTTTCCGCGGGATCGTTTAGCGCGTATATCTGGTTGCCTCTAATTGGGGCGGCAAACACGGCCCGTTTGCTTATCCGTTTAGCGCTCGAAAAGACGGTCTTTAGCACATACGGATTAGCATACGGTCGCGTAACACACGTACTTTTCAAAATTTCATTAGCATGCGAGCGTAAACAGCATGTTTTATTCAGCGAGTTCGTTTATGGGAGCCTCGAGACGATCGTCTCGAGAGTTGGGGCGTCGGGGGGCGACGGGAGGCGATCGGGGTGATATCGGGGGGTACGTTCGTCAGTCGACGCCCCGAAACATTTTTTTTTTTGAAAAAAAATCGGAAGTAACGAAAACACCAAAGCATATTACAAATAAAAAAAATATATATATATATATAATATATAAATCGTTCGTCCATCACGAATAAAAGGATCCACTATACGATTTGGAAACCATTAGGGGATAACAAAAAAAATTTTCTTACAAAAATTTCTTGAACCCTTCCAAAGATTTGAAATATTATAATTTTGTTGATACAGCCACCTTTTTGGGACACCGTGTATACGCTGAGGCGCATCTGTCAAACTTATTGAGTAGTGCATCATCTCCTTAGTCTGTGATGAAATTTTCGCCGCAGCACCTGGATCAGTAGCGCCACGACACAATTTTATATGGGGCAATCAAAATATGAAAAAACAACACATGACCTCAATTTCTGCCTAAACTAAGCCAAATTGGAATAATGTCTTAAGAAAGTGACCTTTATTTTAAGCAAGGATTCCAAAAATGTCGAAATATACAGGGTTGTCCATTTAAAATAACAACGTTGATGTCGGGGGGCACTTTTGGGCCACCCTGTATCAACAAAATTGTACTTTTTTAAATCTCCGGGAGAGTCCACGAAACTTTTGTACGACAGTTTTTTTCGTATCTCCTATGGGTTTCCAGATCGTATGGTGGATCGTTTTATTTCGGGATCTCTTCCGGGGCCATTATAATTTTTTAGATTCGCAGGATTCCAACGCAGTAAACCGGGCGTAATAAAATCGCGACTGCCGACACTTAATCCGCCTAATTCTCGCGGCGGGATCGTTTTGATAGATAGGCAGATTTTTTTTATTAGCTTTGTCGCGTAAACCACCATATAATGCGCATTGAAAATGGAAACGGACGTCCAGGATACTTTCTTCATTATCTCGTTGGTTTCGAAAGAAAATGTTAAACGCAAAAGGAGTTAAAAACTATTTATTTATTTAACATTTATTTATTTTTTTTAAATACTAGTTTTCATACTTGCAAAAAACTTGATAAAAATAAAATAAATTAAAATATTAGCGTTATTTCAAAGATGGCGTAAAAGTTAATGCAACCGAATTTAAATTAGATGCTACAGGGTGTTTAAAATAAACGAATATATTTGGATCATTTTATGTCGTATGTCAATAATTAAGAGATCCATTTTAAAAAGAAAATTTGGGATTTATTTTAACTTTTCCAATATTCTTCTATGTAAGACTTGCGATTATAACGTTTAGCTTTAACGCTTCAACTGCTAACTGCGCTTTTCCGTTACGAATTCGCTTTTTTCCGCGACTGATAAAAAAACATTCGGCGCGACGGCCATTTTATCGAAGGTAGCCGTGTTTTCGGCGTCACTTTCGAGGTTAGGTTCGCTTTTCCGCCCGAAACCACACCGAAACGTCGAAAAAAGTCGCCAGAGGCGACTCCGCAGCGGTTTTCAAGGCATTCCCCTGCCGCGGCCCTCCCGCTCGCTTGATTTTACGACTTTTTTGCGTTTCGATTGAAAATTACGCCTCGCCGATCGTAAAGTCGCAATTAACCGACTCGTAAGTTTTTTTCCCTGGTCGTTATCGCGTTCATTAGTCGACGGCCGGCAGCGTGATTGCGGATAATTAAACGCGCGCCATCTATCGGGGACGTCTCGTACTAAATAGGTCCGTCGTCGGACGGTGGGGATTTTCCGGACATTTTTCGTCCATTTTTAAGTTCTTGATCGTCAAAACCAGCCCGTCGAAGGTCGGCGATGGGAGAAAAATTCAAATTAGAAATTTGCGAGGATGTCCCGTAAGTGCGCAAGAAATAAAAGGTACGCTATGGCCGAACAAAAAAAAAAAAGGAATGCACTTACATATTTGCAAAGTTTGAAATACGCCAAAGGTTCAGGTAAATAAAATATTGAAAATAACGCTCCAAAAAACGGCTTAAATGTCACGATCATCTACATGAACAAATCATGATAATTTGTTAAATAAATTATTGCCCGTGCAATAACAATTATAACAATACCAAAAAAGAGGAAAATTAACAAAAAAATATATAATTTCGTATAAAATATAATCCGCCAAGTTGAAATATACAAGCAAACCACATTCAAAGCCAAAATTATAACTGCCAATTAGGTGGTGGTAAAGCTCACCGAACGATATACCGTTTTTTCAACCCGCCTGTTGTAAAGCGAAGGGGACCATTGTGTTTATCAAGCCAGGGACCTATTTAAGATGTGCAGACTGTTGTGTTTTAAGATCAGGGAAACTTTGTTTGATTAAACTGTACTTTGTACTTCTTTAAACAGTCCCTACTTGAAGTTGCCCATTAATAGTTGCCAGAATTAATTATGAACGTGGGGGACGAGTCCAGTGACGATAGTGATTATTTTGCTGAAGAATAACTTTTTTATATAAATTTTCTGGCACTGCTTTGAAGCTGAATTTACTCCTTCATTTTTATTTGTAATAAACATTTTTAAAGTAAGAATGGGTTTTCACTGCATGGACTAATAATAATCGAAGAATCTCACCGATGAAACTCTACACAAATCAGCTTTCAGCATTTTTATGCACGAAGTACCGAAGTACGATGCTGATGCTGATGCAAATCCATTTAAAGAGAATAATTTATTTAAATCTATTTAAAAAAATAAAATTACCAAAGTTAAATATCGGATTATGTCGTTAAACCGGTATATTGTTTGGCGAACTGTACCGTTCTATTAAGTGTATTCTCTTTTTCCCAATATTCTTTATAATATTTTCTGTATGTGTTATGCAACTGATCCAATTTTCTTTGGTAACTGTTTGAAGAACTGCCTTCCAGATAATTTTGCACTATCATGATAGGGTACGTGAATTTGTTTTGCAAGACGGCCTTTCGAGTTTAAACACAGGTAAACGGGTGTAGACTTTGTAATGTAATGTATCGGAGGCTTTTTCCAACAAATCACAAGACATTCTAATCATGACCATAGAACAGGAACACCACAGACCACCGAACAAAACCTTTTAAATGAAATAACATGACATTACATACGTTGCAAATAGTATTGACCATGCGTAATCACACAATTGTCAATGTTATACAAAGTGTTCCTTTTTTTAAATGATAAACTCGGTGAAATTATAAAAATGTGATGTTTCCATTTGAAAAAAAAAGACTTTTACACGATTTCGTTCTTCAAATTTTCAATTTCACCCAAAACCCAAGATTTTAGAATTATCCACTACGTTTCTTTCAGTGTTATCTATTATAACCTCTTTTGCATTTTTGTGTGATTTGTTGTTGCGATTTTATCGGTATTGAGAAACGGGCGGATTTTTATTCTTCCATATTGCGCCATTTAATCGATAAAAATTTGCAAAATAAGCGGCTGAATAGGAAAACCGCAATTCTGCATCCAAAAACAAAGTTCGCGTAACATTTTTCGAAAAAAAAAAGGCAAATATGTAAAAAACTATTAAGTTTTTTACACACTTGCGGGTCATCCCGTGATTTTGCTTCTTCTTGTCAAAAACATTTCGGAAGTTCTCTTTTTAAAAGTTAACCGTTAATGGTAAATAAACGTGTTTTCTGGTGACTTGGAGGCTTAATTGAAAATTACCGAATTGTCCGTGATGAAATCTCTCACAATTGGAATACAGTACGGTAAAGTACTCAGTAATGCACTCTCGTGTGCAACTTTTCCGAATTATCGACAACTATCGAAGGTGGGACTTTTTTCGAATCTCGCACGCGCGGCGTTCGATTTTCGACCTTCGTGCGCAATCAATCGCGACGTTTCATTTCTTTCGACGCGTCTCGACCCGGCGAACATGCACCGGCCGTGTTAAAGGTCAAAAATCCAATCTCGTTCCTTTTTACGTACGATCGCGGCACTATAACTAGGCGCCTAACTCCGAAGGTCCGGAAAAGTGGGCGCAGTGCTTCCCGGAGGCGGCGGGCGCGCGCCAGAGTCCCGTCGACATCCGCCACGTCGACCTGAAGAAGCTCAACGCGAACCGCAAGCTCGAGTGGAGGTACATACCCGAAAACACGAAGGCAGTTATCAATCCGGGCTACGGTTGGAAGGTGGCCGTGGACGGCGACGGATCACGTAAGCACGGACCACAGAACGACTTGAACGTTGTCGAATCGTCGAATCGTGTTGCAGAGTTAACGGGCGGTCCGTTGGAGGGCAGATACGTGCTCGAACAGTTCCACTGCCACTGGGGCGAGTCGAATGACGAGGGTTCCGAGCACACCATCAATGGTAAAAAGTTCGCCGGGGAGATTCACCTGGTCCACTGGAACGCGACCAAGTATAAGTCGTTCGCGGAGGCGGTCAAGCACCCCGACGGCCTGGCCGTGCTCGGCGTGTTCCTCAAGCCGGGAAAGAAGCATCTAGAGCTCGACAAGATCGTCAAACAGCTCGGCTACGTCGAGTTCAGGGGACAGAGCGCGAAAATCTTGGTGCCGCTCAGCCCCGCGTCACTCATACCCGAAGACAGCGGCTACTACACGTACCAGGGATCGTTGACGACACCCCCGTGCTCGGAGTGCGTCATCTGGATCGTTTTCAAAGAGCCCGTCGAGGTTTCCCAAGAGCAGGTAATCGCGCCATCTAGGGACGCGGACGGGACGGCGCGGCGTTTCGTACGCGGCCGAATGCCAATTTTAATTCCTTTACTAAGTCGTGCGGTTTTTTCAGTTGGACGCGTTCAGGAGGCTGAAGTGTTACTCGCAGCAAGACCAGCGCCCGTGCGACGAGTTCCAGGGCTTCGTCAAGGCGAATTTCAGGCCGACGCTGCCGCTCGGCCAGCGAGACATCAAAGAGTGTCGCCAGTAGAATTAAGACCCAATTAGTGATAGTCGGGTGCTATATTAGTGCTTAACGTTTTGGTTACCGCCAGCATTTAGGATTTTTATATAAGCTTCGGCGCGGCATTTATTGCAGATGAAATAAATCGGATGTTTAGTAAATGCGAAGGTTTTATTTGCCAAACTAGCGCCATCTATTAAAGCACGCGGCAAGCGCGATTGGCTCCAGGAACGACTAGGTGGCTATCGCGACGATAGATGGCGATAAATTAACAAAACAAAAAAATAAATTTCGTCCACATTTATTATTTAATAATTCCAAACTTTACATGATTTAAATTGCACCAACAACACCAGCACCAAACTCTAAACCCTACCTTTGACAAGCGCCGGCGTTTGACGCGCGATCGACAGATGGCGCCGCTGCACGTTCGAAGCTAATTGTTAAAAAAAAATAATTGGGTTTCGAACGCAATCTAAATTGGCGGGCTATCTGTCTACAAAAAAACGTTTAACAAATACGCAACGCTCGTTTACGTGACGGCCCGCGTGACGCAAAGATGCATTAAAAAAAGCCTGGACGAACGTAAACGTTGAATAGCTTCGTTGGCGAGCGAGGAAACGCGAGAAATGATGTGAGGTGAGCGCTCGCGAAGACGAAGAGAAAAAGCGTAAAACACGGTTCGAGCGCGACCTACTTTACCGGCAATCGTACGCCCCGGGGGTGGAACTAACCCGAATAAAGTAAGCAAAGAAAACGCGCTAATCGAATCGGCCTTTGAAAATTCCGCAAAATCGTTTTAGCGACGCGTCGCTAATTGCGGTCCGATTCCGAAAATCGGCCCGCCGGAGAAATTCCCCCGCCCCCCACGACGTCAGAAGTTCGCAATTTTTTAAATCTTCTCCGCTTTTAATGCGACCCGAAGAGCGCGCGTTCACCGTTCGCGACGAACTCGACAGGCGTCTTCGAAAAAAAAAAGTCCAACGGACTCGGGTCTGCGCGGTTTTCAGTCCGACGTCGCGGGGGATCGGCACGCGAGGGGGGAACGGAACCTTATTTTGTGTAATTGCAGTTGGGAACGTCCACAGGTACCTCATAACTTAGGCGTGGCGTCATGTTTTTCTTCGGGTCGAGAGGCGTGTTGAAGATCAACGAGGACGCGAGTCCTTTGTACCAGTTCGTCGCCACCGTCGCCGGTAAGCCTCCCTCAAAGTTGGTCGGACAACTGAAACATTTTTCTCAGTGTACGATTGGAAAAAGCATACCGTTTGGACGTCTTTTAAATATTTTTATACGTTCGGTCAATTAGGTGCGCATCATTAGACTACCAAATTTTATAGGCAGCTGATTTGCCGGCTAAATATCTAACGAAACGCCAACGAGACGGCACTTTCTCTCGGCGCCGTGATACGCTGAGAGAAAAGTTTGCTGCTTTCAATCACCCACCATTTCTAAAGAAATTTCTTCCTTCAAAAAACATAAAAGACTCTTCTTTGCACGGTCATAACAATATCGTTAATGTGCCGGCATGGCATCCAGAGAAACTAGTTTTTTAAAGCTGTTCATAAACGAATGAAAGTGTCATTTATTTTAAGGAAATTAGCGGCCTGGCAATGATTGTGTACGAACAAATAATATTAATTAGGTTTTTTTGTGAAGGATAAAATATCTATCTATCTTCAAAAGAGTCAAGTTCGAATACACGGTGCTCGAAATATCGCGCTTGAACATTACTCCTGTAGAATGTTTGTTAATGGCTCAATTTTTTAATTAAAAAGGATTTTTAATTCTCATCGAATAATGAAAATAAAAATTGATTGACCTCGATATACTGTTTCCTTTGTTTGCCATGGAGAAGCGAACTGTCAAATTCAATCGCTAATTTGCATTTTAATTTCGTTTACATTAAATCTTTCGAATACCAATATTTATTAATGATGTTGTTTTAAGATGGTACAAAAAACTAAATGTCCCTCAAAAAGTCTTTTTTATCATTATGTTTGAAATTTGTAAGATTAAAATTATAAAAAATATTCGTTATTTGCAAGGTTTACAATATTTAATTTTTAAAACATTAAAAACTTTGATCGTTGGTCTGGTTACTTTTAGGTAGTCCTGAACACAAATCCCTAAAAATCTCTAAAAGCACTTCTCGATTGTGGCGTTTCATTTCTCTTTAGTAAGATCTATACAAGCATCTTACGAATAAGGAAATCTTTTTACTTATATTTTTAATACAAAATAATTTTTGCAACATTTCATTTTATTTATTTTTTTTAAATATAATTAAATATAAATATAATATAATATAAATATAAATATAATAAATATAATAATAATAAACTCAAAAATATGTATTTAAAACTTCATTAGTACCAAAAAATTTTTATTTCAATTTTAATTTTCTTTTACCAAAACAAATTAATTATATATAAAAACATTATATTCAATATAATAATAACAATTATCAAAATCGAACCATAAACAAACATTCTACAGGAGTAATGCTAAGTATATTTAGGTTTTATGTGGTCCTCAATACTAATTCATGGACTCTTTATTCTTAAAGAAATCGGTAATAGACTTCTCGGTATTTGAAAAATTAGTGCCAGTTGACCATGACTTTAGGATGATGTAATGCATGCATTTTTCAGAGATTTATTCTGCTCTCTCCCTCATTATTCATGAAAATATCTCAAGTGGTGTTCTCTATCTATCTCAAAAGGACTTAGATTCATATGAAGTTTTCTGCCATTTCTTTTATATTGTTCTGAGAACTAATTGGAGTCGATATTTTTATTGGACATCGCATTGAAAAGGGTTATCATTTATTACAAAATACATATTATTATTAAACAATTACAGATGACACTCTGGAATTGCGAAAAACATTTTGATCGAATTGGGCTTGTCAATTAACCAGCCCCACCGCTAAAGCGCTCTGATATAGCGCATTCCTTGCTACACTGAGAGAAAAGTTTCTTTTAAACGCTCCCCTCCTAAAATGCCTAAGTACTTGGACAAATGAAAACCTAAATACGGTATCTGGCGTGTCTTCGAAAGCGGCGTTACCTTTAATAATAATATGTCCAACATAATTTGAAAGGCTTATAAAATGACGGGCTTTATTAAGAGATTCAAAACGTGAATTGCATAAAACTCCTATATTGTGCTCTGGTTCGACTCCGCTTAGAATATGCTTCATCTCTATGGAATCCTGATTGTCAATGTCATGAATAACTCGCCTAAATGGTACATATTTCGTACCGTACCACAGAACCAACTATGGACGTAATTCATTCATCGCAAGGGCTGCCCGAATTCAGCAAACATAACATAACATTACAAAGCTTACATTAGTTGTTACTTTTACTTTTACTTTAAGTTTTGGTTAGTTTTGCGTTAATGCGTTTCTTGAAGGTTCTACCTGTTTGTACAATATAAATTTTAGGAGAAGATCCGCAATTCAACCTGTAGACACCCGATTTTTGACATTTTGGACACTTCGATTTAAAAATTTTCCTATTGTGTTGTTAGTTATAAAAGTATTTTTTAAACCACATTTTGACAAATGTTTTGAAACTTTTCACTGGGTTCTCCTATGAATGTAATTGTTTTAAATCGTCGGTGTTCTGTTTTAGGTTTCGGATAAATAGAGTTTACTGTTGTCTGGATTTGTTTTTTATTTATAATTTTATCTATAACGGACGGATTGTAGCCGTTGTTCAGTGCAATTTGTTTAATGATATTAAGTTCTTTGTTGTAATTTTTCGTTGAGAGTGGCGTATTAAGAAGTCTGTGTATAAAAAAGTACAATGCAGCCATTTTATGTGTATAAGGGTGATTTGAGCTGTTATGTATGACTGTGTCCGTGTGTGAAGGTTTATGATATATTGAAAAATCTAATTTGTTTTGCACTTTCGTAATAGTTAAGTCTAAAAAATTAACAGAGTTATCCTGTTCAATCTCGATAGTGAATTTAATACGATTATGTATCGAGTTAATGTAATTTAAAAAAGAATTCAATTGTCTGTCCGTTTCAACAAAGCAAGCAAAGATATCATCCACCATAAAAAACTTTTACTTAAAGGATGTTCTAGTATGATCTTTTAAAAATTATCCATAAAAATCTAGGTTAACAAAGGGCTTGCCATAATCAAACCTTCCTTAGAGATGTAAACCTGTCCATTAAATTCAAAATAATTTTGGTCCAAAGATACTTTTAAGCAACCTAATAAATCTTGTTTCACCAATGGGTTAACCTGTTTCCGAGTGAGGGTGAAATCTACTGAATCTATCACATCCATAGGTGGAATACTGGGAAATAAGTTTTGTACATCAAAAGACAATAGTGATGGATTAGAAGGGGTTTTGATATCTTTCATTTTGTTTAATTAAGTTTTCTATTGTGGTATAGATCTGGATGATGTCTTTGCTTGCCTTGTTGGAAGGGACAGGCAATTGAATTATTTTTTTTATTTTTTAATTCACTCTCGAGATTGAACAGGATAACTCTATTCATTTTTTAGGATGAATTATTACGAAAACGCAAAAAAATTAGATTTTTCCATTTTCCATAAACCTTCACACACGAACACAGTCATACCTAACAGCTCTTTATACACACAAGACAAGACACGGTGTTGTCGAAACAATTGTCACGTGAAAATATATAATTTCGTGAAAATCTGAACTTTTAGTTGTTATTAATTTTTTAAATAAACTCACAGGATGCCTGGGTGTCATCTCCGGGGCGATGCACTTCGGCTGGCCGTCGCCGTCGCTGCCTCATCTTCTCAGCCCCAACTCGACGATCCCGATCAGCGACGAGGACGGCTCGTGGTTGGCGGCGATGCCGTGCATCGGCGCCGCCTCCGGCTCCCTGCTGACCGCCTACGCGGTGGACAGGATCGGCAGGAAAACGTGCATGCTGATGACGGCCCCCGGGTACTTCGCGGCTTGGCTCATGGTCGCGTTCGCCACCACAAAGTGGGAGCTTTACGCCGCCAGGTTCATCTCGGGGGCGGCTGACGGCCTGGTGTTCACCGCCTTCCCCATGTACCTCGGCGAGATAGCTTCGTACGACATCAGGGGATTGCTGGGCTCGAGCCTCCAGCTCTCGATGATTGCCGGCATGCTCGTCATCAACGTCCTGGGCTCCTATCTGAGCATCTACCACACGGCTTTGGTGTCGGCGGTGTTGCCGCCCATCTTCTTTGTCGCGTTCGGCCTTATGCCCGAGAGTCCGTACTACCTGGTGATGAAAGGTCGCGAGGAAGACGCCGCGGACAGTCTGCGTCTCTTCAGGCGCACGGCAGACGTCTCGGCCGAGCTCGCCAGGGTCTCGGAGGCGGTGAAGGCGGAGCTCGAGCAGTCCGGTCGCGTGGTCGACCTGGTGAAGATCCCCAGGTATCGATTTCACTTGGTAACATTAATTCATATTATTATGGTGCGGGGAACTGGGGGAAAAAGTTTCAACGTGGTAAATTAACGCTAGTAAGTCGTGTAACAAAAACATTTTTCGGGTTTTAGTAAAAGCCGTCGTTACAAGTGTTTCATAAATCTGTCGCTGGAGGGCACTGGAATATTTTTTTAATTTTCCCTGTATTTTATTTATTTAGACTGATATTGCAAAATAAAACAGAAACAGAATCACAAATATTTAAAAATTGTTGCTCTCGTTTTAAGTCGATAAGAGTTATCGATTTTTTATTCTCGGCTCGAATTTTACCTGTGAATGTGATTTTACCTAACAGGGCTTAATGAAATTTCAAAAAGTCATTGCTACAATCTATTAAAAATTAATTTTGGAAATGCATATCAAGCGCGACGGCTTTATATCGATACTTATCCCAATAGAAACGTTCCATCCGCTAAAACATTTATCAATATACAGAGAAGACTTGGTGAAATAGGATCATTCCATCCTGATAGTATTAATTAAGGGAGTACGAGAAAACTTGCTTTTCAGCAAAGAATTGTTTGCTGTACAGTTTGGGAAGTTTTGGGAAATGATCTTCGGTCCTTTATGTTCAAGCACTGTATGAGGGTGAAGGCCGCCTCGCTCACCAGACCTTAATCCGATGGACTTCTTTTTTGGGGTCACTCAAAGTCTTTAGTGTATGAAAAACCTATAACAGATATCAATGATCTACGACAAAGAAAAATGAACAGTTGCGAGATCATTAGAAATAGGTTAGATGTATTTTTTCGTAAATAGAAAATATTTAAAAATCAAAGGTGGGCATTTTGAAAATCAACTGTAATTAACGTCGTATACTGACTAATTCTCGATTATTATTAATATTTTTTTATTTTCGAAAATGTTAAATGTATTTATTTATTTATATATTTATTTATTATGTTAGTGCACGTCAAGTGCTGGTTAATAACGTTGGCCTGCATTTCCACTGGTATCACCTTTGTTGTAAATTAGAGAATAAAAATGTCGATTTGTGGCTAAACGATATCACTTATCGAGAGTAACAATTTTTGAAAATTTTTGATTCTGCTTCTGTTCCATTTTGCAATATCAGTCTAAATACATAAATAGAAAAAATCTAAGTAAAGTGCCCTCTAGTGACAGATTCCTGAAACACTTTCATTTTGTGTCCTTCAAGTTTCCGAACACCCTGTATAAATCCGTAGCAACCGCAAGGCCGTGCTCATTGTCTTCGGTTTGAGGACCATCCAGCAGCTGAGCGGCACCACCGCCATCATGTTCTACGCCAAAACCATCTTCCACCAGGCCAGCGGCGGCGTCTCCCCTAGCGTCGCCACCATAATCTACTTTTCCCTGCAGCTGGTAGTCGCCTTGGCAGGCTCCTTCCTCGTGGACAAGCTCGGCAGGAAGCCGCTACTCGTGGTGTCCATCATAGGGTCCGGTTTGGCCCTCTCCTTGGAGGGGGTCTACTTTTATTTGGCCCAAAACACCACCCTGGACGTTTCGAGCCTTAAAACAGTACCTTTGATCGCCCTCCTCGCTTACGTGGTGGTTTTCAACGTGGGCATGGGTACCATACCGGTACTGCTGCTGGGGGAGATGTTCCCCACGGGGGTGAAGGCGTTCGCGCTGTGCCTGGCTGACATTTGGTTCGGGATCATCGTGACCTTGACCTCGAAAGGTTTCCAGATCATCAAGGACGACTTCGGGATCGCTGTACCCTTCTTCGGGTTCGCAGCGTGTTGCGTCGTGGGGTTGGTGTTTATAGTGTGGGTCGTGCCCGAAACGAAGGGCAAAACCCTCGAGAATATACAGGACGAGCTCAAGGGCGCTGCTGGGAAGAAACACGCGGAAGGGGACGCTTAAAGTTTTGCCTTCCTAATGGAAAATTGCAAAAAGTAAATCGTATTAGGGAGAATAATTCGTTTGGTTGGTTAGTTTCTACGGATTTCGAAAAAAAATTATCTATATAGCCAATCGCTAATCCGGTACTCAAATAAATAACAGTTAAAGGCTGAAAAAGTTGTTTATGGGAGAACGATTAGTAATTTATATGTTAATTATTTTTAAAATATTATATTTTACGGTTTTTGCTATCAAATATATTCCGTCGGGTTTGGAAAGCGTGTTTTAATTATCCGTCGACTTTTAATGGCTTGTTTTAGTGCGTTTTGGATAAAATATTGTTCATTTTTTATTAGTCCGTTAACAGAAATTTGTACTTTTCCTTCGCTCTACATTTTGTATTTTTCTGAATTGAAAATTTGGCTTTACAAATTGTTTCGTGATTCCGTTTATTGCACAATAAACAAACATAATCGATAAAATTTTTTCAATTTTTATTTACTTTTTTTTTCTGAATTGAAAAAGTGTAAAAAGTAAAGGACTTAAGGGAAAATGGAATTGTTTGATTTGTGACATTTTTTGTCTTGTTTTTGTTTGTTTGTTTGTTACTTTTTTAAATGCTATATGTTTTGTTTTATTTTTTAACGAAAATTTGTAAAAAGTAAAGGGTTTTTGAGAAAATAGGATTGTTTTATTGGTAACATTTTTCATTACTTTCTCCATTGTTAAAAGAAAAAAAAGTCATCTATAAAAAGAATGTGCATTTTCCCAACTATCATATATTTTTTATTTTTTGTCATTGAAAATGCGTAAAAAGTGAAATGTGTATATATTTTCACCATTTCTTCGAGAGGGGCGTCTTCCCCATGATACATACATAAGAAAATTCTCTAGTAGCTTAACTGAATGTAGGGCTTGTTGAATGGTTGGTGGTGGTCCCAGATCAACTTCTTTATCTTCTTCTTCCTCTTGGTGCTCTTCCTCTCCCTTTTTTGCTTGTTGTAATATGGCTTCCTCAGCCAAGTCTGCTGTTATATCACCATAAAATCTTGCTTGTTGTTGCTATCACCTCTTTCCAAGACTTACTAATAAAGTTGAAAATTTGTCTTCCGACTGGCTAATTTCCATTACAATGTTTTTCTTGTATCGACCCATAAGACTTTTTATTACGCTCTGGTCGATCGGCTGTAATAACACTTGTTGTTTTGGTTGGAAGAAATGCCAATTCAATATTCCGTAGATTTCGAATATAGGGATGTGCAAGGCAGTTAGTTATCTAAGAGAAGTAATATTTTCCTACCCTTTAATTCTGCATCCCATTTCCGTATCAACTCTTCAAAAATTGGGGATATCATCCATGCAGACTTATTTGCCTTGTAAGTGACCTGCACATCCTTGATGTTCTTAAAACATCGTGGGTTAGTTGATTTTCCAATCACGACTAGCTTTCTTTTTTCCCTCCCACTCATATTTGCAGCTACTGACACTGTTATACGTTCTTTAGACATCACGGGCTTCGCCACTGTCCATAATTTATACTATGTCATCTATAAAACAATTTTAGTTTTTTTTAATGATTATATATTTTTTATTTTGTTTATTGCCGTCTTAAATTAAAAAAAGAAAACATTGACACAAATTTTAATTTTTTCAATTTATATACATCTTTTTTTTCTTATTAAATATACGTAAAATATTTCTGAAAAAATGAAATTGGTTGATATTCCATTTTTTCAATTACGCCATATTTTTTTATTACCTTCGTTATTCTTAAATTTTAAAAAATCATCGGAACCATCCTTCTTACAAATTCGATATATCTTTTTTTTTTATTCAAAATACGTAAAATGTTGTTGAGAAAAAAAATTGTTTTATTCGTAATATTTTTTATTACTTTATTTTATTGTCAAATTTTTGAATAAACTGTACTTTTCCAATATATTATTTATTTTTTAAGTTACCAATCTCAGTATCGGAATATAAAAATAGACTAATTGGAAATAAATAATTCGCCAATTAAATTTCGTATTTCGTTTATTGTATTAACATTTCCAAACTGCGGCTACACGCATCCTTTGAAAAAGTTTGCTCGTTCGTTTCACCCACGGCGACGCCCACCCAGTTCACTTCTCGCCCTTCAGCTCGTTCTGGATGTCCTCGAGCGTCTTGCCTTTGGTCTCCGGCACAGTGAACAGTATAAACGCCAGCCCGACCACGCAGCAGCAGCCGAACGCGAAGAAAGGCACGTGCATTCCGAAGCTCATGCTCGACCAATAGAAAAACTTCGATATACACGTGACGATCACGCTGAAGTAGACGTCCATGACGCAGAGCGCGAACGCCTTCACGTTGGTCGGGAACAACTCGCCCATGATCAGAAGCGGGATGATCTGCAAGCCGGCGCTGAAGAAGACGACGTACATCAGCAGCGCGACCATCGGCAGAAAATTGAAACCGCTCGTGTCGACGTCCGTCCGCTCCTTGACGTACAAATACGAACCGTTCAGGAAGAGGCTGACGGCGGTACCGACCACGGAGAAGATCAGCAGCGGCCTCCTGCCGGAGACGTCGACCACGAAAGAGGCGACGCCGCTCAGCACCAGGTGCACCGAGAAGTAGACGATGGTGCCGACGCTGGAGGGCAGGAAATCGCGCGACTCCTCGAACACTTGCTTGCAGAAGAACATAATGGCGGACGTGCCGCTCAGCTGCTGGATGCCGCGCACCCCCAGCGCAATGATCAGCGCTTTGCGGTTGCTGCGCACGCGCACCAGATCCAGAAAGTGACCGCGGCGCGCGTTCTGCTCGCGCACGGCTTCGGATATGCGGTCCAGCTCGGCGGAGACGTCGTCGCGGCCCCGGAACTTCTGCAGGCTGCGTCTAGCTTCAGAGACGCGGCCCTTCATCACGTAGAAGTACGGACTTTCGGGCATCCAGACGAAAGTGACGAGGAGGAGGATCGGTACGGACACAGCCACGTACGCTGTCGTGTCTATCGGAAGGTAGGAACCCAAGACGTTGATCAGCAGGTACCCGAAGAGGATGCACAAGGGGCAGATTGACGCTATGAGGCCGCGGATTTTGGGCTCGGCGATCTCCCCCAGGTACATCGGCACCGCCGTGAAGGAGAGGCCGTCGGTCATGCCGGCGACGAACCTCGCGACGAACATGAGGACGCTAGAGGGCGCCACCGCGATGAATAACCAGGAAGCGGTGAACGGCACAGACGACAAAACTATGAGCCGTTTGCGGCCGAAAATGTCGACGACGAAGCCGGTAACGGCCGCGCCGAAGATGGCGCCGATCAGAGGCGCGACCGCGAGCCACGAGCCCTCCTCCTGGCTGATCGTGAAGCTGTAGGTGCCATTGGTGAGGATCGGGAGCGACGGCGACGGCCAACCGTAGTGCATCTCACTGCAGACGATGCCGAGGTTGACTGCGCCGGGCGTAGAGCGAAATCGATTATCGAAGTTTAAATTGTCACCAATCTAGATGCCGAGCGCGTGTTCCGTGGCGCTGCCGGGCGCTGTGGTCTATGACCGCGCGGATTTTTGACGTACGTGGTGATTTTGCTGAGCGATTCGTTTATAAATATTTCGAATAGGTAGTTCAACCGGGCACAATAACGGTGTTGCGATGTTTAGCGCGTGAATCAAGGCGGTATGATCATTATCGCAGTTGTCACAGGTAGGAAATTAGAGCGTAAGTTGGAAGTAGTCAAGGGAGATCAAGTTTGTTTATGTTTCTAAGTGAAAACAAAGACATAAAAGATGCCATATGTAACTTAAATTTGGAATAAAGCGACGGACCAAACGACCAAAGACGTTACAGCAGTGATTTAGTAGAGGGAGTAAATTAGTTTTAAAGCAGGCTCTCCTAAACTTAAAAGTAACATGTGCTCGCTTTGCAAGTTTATAGTGTAGACACAGACCCATGCTATTGCACGGTACACTTACATAGTACATAATATGTGTGGCATGGAGCGGCAAGTGTGTGTTCTGTGACGAGAGAGTAAAAACGTAAGACGTGTTACAAGTTTTGTATTTTCCTGTTGTGTATGTCTACTGATATACGGCATATTAAAGAAAACAGTCTTTCCGTTCCGATCTACACCCCAAAAATGGCACGTCATCGGCGTTTATTAAAAATTCTTTTATTATCTTTTCATCGGCAAGCTTTCCAAAAACTACAACAGAGGTTATATATTTGTTGTTGTACCCCACTGCATTTGCCTTACAAAAAGCCCTAATAATGTGTTTATCCAAATCCAAAATTTCCATGAATAAGTTATGGGCAATTTTCAAAAGGGCCGAAAATTGAAAAATTCCCTATATGCATGTGGGTAATGAAGATATCGCCGTGTGGTTTTAACAAGTAAATGTTTCTCAAAAATCGAGCCCATGAAATGTAAGTCGATTTTGCTCTATCTAGTTCAGAAATATGTTATCCCTGTTAAAACGCTCCAATTACCAATAACCCTGTACAGTACGGATCCTAGGACACTACCTTGAGGTACTCCCGATTTTAAGTTAATGCTATTTGAACGCGGTTGAGTTCCAGCAGGTTAATAAATCACAATAATATTAAAAATTAAGATAAACAACGAATTTTTATTTCAATAGCAACCTGTAGCTTATCAAAATTCAACATATATTAGGTTAGTACAAAGACATTAAGATGTGATTGTCACCGTCATTTTTTTCCGATTTTTTTTGCCATTGTGTCAGATAATGCCATCTGGTGGTAGAGTACTCAATCGCAATTACCTCACTTACCAAGCCAAGCCATTTTGGAAACTATCGGTATGTGTTTCCGGAAACGTTGGAGCACCCCCACCACTTTTCTTTTAGATACTACTTCAAAAACTTTCGTGTTAGTATTTTTAATTATGTTAAATGAATATTTGAAAAGTTCGGCCCTTGGGGCGGTATTAAGGGTATTTGCGTCAAAAATTAGACTGGAATAGCCTTGTTCATTACATTTCTCCCTAATGCCAATACCAATCAAATTTCCAACTTACCGGTGACGGCCGCGACGTACTGGTAAATCTTGGTGCCGGAGGGGCCATTGCGGACGATTTTCGACATTCCGCGGCACCGGACTGCGCTAACACATTCGCGGCGCCCATCGCGTTTTAATTGACCAATTGAGCCAATCAACGCTTTATCGATCATTGCCGAAAAAATTCCACGCTCGCTCAATTGTCTTCCCTTCCACGAACAATTGAACGGCGGCCGTCCAAGGCCTGCCGACGCTCCTTAGAGATAACGAACGCAACTTTCGTTACTTTCTTTTTTATTTCAGTCCATTAGTCAAACCATTAGCCAATATTTAGTTTTTTTTTGCGACAATAATGTCGTTGAAACGATCGCTAGACCTCTTATTTGTGCTTTGAAACCAATAAACAAATCATTCTGTCATGAGAACGGAAATTTTCGAATAAATTAAACGCAAAAACCAAGAGCACCCCTTGCTCGGCGGACGGTCGGAGCAAGAACGGTGTGACGTCAGTGCCGACGATACCCTTCTAACGACCCCGGATACATTTTTTGCGCAGTAAAACGTCCCCCGTCACCTCGTAGTGCTTTATTTCCTACAATCTACAACCTCGACCTGTCAAGGAACACATTCAAGATGGCGTCGCAGCTCCGGTGCCGTCTGAACTCGACGCCGGTGATGGCCCGCGGATCGGGGACGTCGCGCATGCGTCCGACGGCCTCGTCGTAGGCCTCGTCCGTCGTGAGCGCTTCTAACCGGACCCGGGGCATCTTCACCGAGCAGTACTCGTGGCCGTTGACCTGGCAGGAGAGCTCGAGCTCGTAGTCCGCGTCCACTTCGGGCCACCGCTGACACAAGACGGGCTCGTCCCACGCGATGCCGGACGTCGCGAGCCTGCCGGGGGCGGCGACGAAGCCGGACCACAGTTCGGACGCGAAATGAGGCGCCATGGGTGCAAGCATCACGATCTGGGCGGCGAGGGCGCGCTCGAACTCGGCGCCGCGCGCGAAAACCGCCGCCGGCGCCCTCTGCGACGAATTTTGAGGTTAGGTACGGTATTCGGGACGCCAAAAATGCCGAACAATCGAATTAATAATATCCAGAGGCTACGAGTACAGAAATAAAAGGAAACGCGTTGTTATTGGAGAAAAAGTAGTGATCGTAGGGTTGGTTAGTAACTAGCACCGAGGAAAGAAGAAGAGGAAGTCTAAAATTAACAACTAGAGGCCGATAAACTTCATTAACGCATAGTAGTAGAATAGAAAAGGATAGTTCAAACAAAAAAGGTTCCTTATCTGGAATAGATTACGTTAAAACTAATTTTGATATAGGTTAATTTGAATTATTTTTATATTTTATAGTAGAAGTTACGTCCCCAAGCGGCCATAAAATGGCCAGACGTAAGAACGGTTCCTGAGACATGATCGGCGTCCTTTATTACAACGATAAGCGAGATAAGAAAGATGCAAGTTTCTCTTCCTCTTTGCACGTCTTACAAACGAGGGGTAAACCAAACGTTATTTGGTGTAGCAATTAAGCAGGAGACGGCGTAAAACCGGCTTACCCTTAGCCTCGTGGTGAGGCCTTGCTGTTTCGACACCGCGACGCTCAGCTGTTGCGAGATGGCGTAGTTGAAGGTGGCGCCGCGGACGTAGTAGTTGCGCGCGTCTCTCAGATCCGCCTCGTGCCGCTCGAACTCTTCTTCAGAGAGTGGCGGGGGCGGCGCGCCGCCGCGCGTCTTCAAAAACTCGCGCACCGTCAGCCAGAGGCGATGTTGCCAGCCCAACACGCCCGGAAACGCTGAAAAGAGGACGCCGTGACGCACCTAACCTCACTTTCGCGGCCACGCGGTTACTGTCGGCGGTCCAGTGGCGGTGCGACGTGGGCGCGACGTCGGCCAGCATCAGGAGGCGGGTCGTGTCGACGCCGTAGCGCGCGAACATGGCGTCCGGGTCGACGCCGTTGCGCTTCGACTTGCTCATCTTCTCCCACGTGACGGCGACCGCCTCCCCCGTCGCCTTCGCGACCGCCTTATTACGTTTCGAGTCTGGTGGGGGGAAAGGTTCACGTTAAACCCGGCTGCGCACACTGGGGCAGGATGACCAGAAAAGTTTGAAAAATTATGTCGAGGCTATTTTTGTGATATGGCAATTAAATCCAAACTAACAAGATGGCTTTCGAAAAATCGTCGCTGGGCGGGGCAAGTTCTTAGCGTGTGGCGCGAAGCAGCTTTTCATTGTAAAAGGAAAGAACATACGTGTTGTTTTTCTATTGCGCTCCTGCGGACCAATATACAAAACTGTTTAACATTATATTACAATATAAGAAAATACCAGAGGAATGGAAACAAAGTATAACAATACCCATTTTTAAAAAGGGAAATAAAACAGACCCAGCAAACTATCGAGGGATAACATTACTGAGCACCTCGCCAAAATTTTTGACTAAGATCATTGCGGATAAAATCTCCTCAACAGTGCCAATACGCGAGGAACGACAAGGATTCCGAAGAAACCGCCCCACTACCGATGCATTACTCATACTCAGGCAACTGGCTGAAAAATCTTTAGAATATAACTCTCCAGCCTATCTATGCTTTATAGATTTAACAAAAGCCTTTGATAGAGTCCAACTAAAAGACATTATCACCATCTTGGAAAGCAGTAATGTCTCGAGAAAACTCACAGAATTTATCAAAGACTTAAACACAAACACAACAAGCCAAATAAGAACAAACTTTACCTTAACGGAGCATCTCCGAATTACAACTGGTATTCGCCAGGGCGACAGTCTCAGCCCTCTGCTATTCAACACAATCATGGACCAATTAATAAAAACCGTTAAGAATACTGTATTAGGATATCGAATGGGAACACATAAAGTAAACACATTATGCTATGCCGATGACGCAGTACTTATTGCGGAGCCAGAGGACGACCTCCAAAGAATGCAACAAGCTTTTAACAGACAGGCAGAAAAACTTAACATGCAAATTTCCACAAATAAGACCAAATTGCAAAGGAGAAAATTGGTAATAAAATACCTGGGATGCAAAATTACAAGCTCTGGATTCCTGGAAGAAGAAGTAAGGAAACAAGCCAATAAAGCTGCCCCAATATCAGGACATCTTAAATATGCCATATGGAAAAACAAACATTTGAGTGCAGAGTGTAAGTCGAGAATTTACAAAACCTGCGTACGACCAGTGATGACATATGGTGCGGAAACCAGAGCTGAAACATCAGTAACAAAGAGAATCCTACGAACTACTGAAATGAAGACCTTAAGAATGATAACTGGATACACATTGAGGGACAGACAGAAAAATGTAGACATAAGAGAAAAGTGCCAAACACATGACGTTGTCAGATGGATAATGCAGAGAAGAGGAGAATGGAACCAGCATGTCAGTAGAATGGGCCCCGACAGAATGGCCATAATAATTCGCAACAACGTACCCCATGGCAGAAGACCTACACTGGACGACAACCTAAACGTTGGCGAGATAGTTGGGAGTCAACCTCGCGAGAGTTGCTTAGACGAGGAGGAAACCGGAACACTCCCTCACGACACGGTTTACGATACTGTCAAATAAAATTTAACGGTTTTTCATTTATCGCCAATAATTTAGCCATAAAAACGGAAATTTGTAGGATCGTTTAAATTTTTTGCCGATAAACGACACACCCTGTATATGATTCAAACAATGTTCGAAGTAGAGGCCCTGGATCTTCCACGCGTCCTGGTTCAAGAATTTTTTGAAAATATTAAATGGTTTTCCGAGAAAATAAGTTTTATCTGAAACCATGCCGTAATAATCAATGACGTCATCGCGTCTTGACAGCCCCCGAAATAACGATTTCAATATGGATTTTTTCGAATATCCCGAGCAGTGTATGTGATAGACGAAAACCGCAAATACAAAAATTGTACCTCTTGATGCGGCCTATGACTCCGTTTGATCCAATTAGCCATATTTAAAAATACTTGGTAAAATTTGATTCCGCCCAATTTCTACCGTTGAAATGTGGACACGAACTTTTACTTCTCTGGTAAAATTGAATTCGATATCTGTAAATTTAAGACACCATTTCTCATTTAGCACGGAATATCGGGAACACCCTCTACAATAGGTGAAAACCTTAAAAGCAAAAGTTTTTGATGTCTAGGCGGACTATATCGCAACATAAAAGAAAGTGAGATCTGAATCATAGTCTTTCAGTTATAAACAATTGTCAAGAATAAAAGCTTATAGAGCCGTATCTTCTGCTTCTTCTGGTTCGAGATTTTTTTTTGGTCTCGTAAACAGTTTTTGAAAAATTATGTTTTTTGTAGACCCTTGCACGCACGATTTTTTATTTTATTTTTTAGAATACTTCCCGACCACCCGGCCCCCCCTTCATTTTCATTAAGTTCCGTCACGGGTCAAAACTGTATATATATATATACCGAATACGAAGTCGATTCCTTCAAACTTCGGACAAAGCAAGGTCCAAAAACATTCGAAAATCGCGAAAAAAAGACGGATAAAGCTGCGGAAATTATCTTGGGAGAAACAAAAAGTAAAATTTGGAATTTTCCAAACTTTTTGGGTCGTCCTGGTTCACCGTGCGGCGGGGGGATTAGGGTTCAGTGAAGTTCGCCGGACGCGCGACTATTTTTCTTAAGGTAGGTAAAACATTGTGTGTGCGTGTGTGTTTGTGTGTACACCGTCCGACAAACGTCAACCCCCACCGATTGCGCCACGTAATCACCGATGACGTCGACCTGGTCCTCCGCTAGGTAGCGTCCGGTGCCCTTGACGCGGAAACTCCTGCCCATCACCATGCCCTGCACCAGGAGTCGCTTGAACGGCTCCGCCGTCGGCACGAGACCGAGCGAGTGCAGAAAATGGCCGACGAATCGCGCGTAATACAAATGCAGCACGGCTGCAACGGAAAACAATTCGCGTGACATCAGCATCGCCCCCCGGGGGCACCTACCGTGCTCCTTGCCGCCGATGTACAAGTCGACCGGCATCCCTTCGAAGACTTTGTGGCGGCCGAACATCTCCGAGGTGTTGCCGGGGTCGAGGTACCTCAGGAAGTACCACGCGCTGTCGACGAACGTGTCCATCGTGTCCGTTTCCCTCGCGGCCGCCCCCCCGCACTGGGGACACTTGGTATTCACCCAGTCCGAGACCTCGGCCAGCGGCGACTTACCTTTCTGCGTGAGGGCGGTCAGTTTCGGTAAACGCACGGGGAGATGTTCGCGGGGTACCGCGACGGTACCGCAAGAAGCGCAGTGCACTATCGGGATGGGCGTGCCCCAGTACCTTGCGAGAATATTAAACTCTGCTTGCTATTTTCAACGAAAGTGTAAAACGCTAACATTTTTCTTCGTGCTATTATCGCCACAGAATAGCGTTCTCGATATTCTACCAGTTGGGCGAGCGGTTATAGAAGTATCGCCCAATGCAAAGAAGAAGTGGCCCACGACACGGACCAACGAATAGTAATTACGTATAGAGAACTAACGAATCGAATAAGACTTCGAGACTTCCCCCTAAATATTTTTACCAGAAGTAATAATGTCGCAATAAATGATTAAAATTTGAACTTTCCCGCTAAATACGTACTGTGACGTCACATGTTTTCGTGAGTTTGCGGTTATTTTTAAGTTGAAAATGATCGTCGCGCCAAGTATTAAAACTGCCACCATTTTTGCGAAGCGAACAACATTTATTAAATTACCTACTTAAGAAAAAGAACAAAAGACATGACTAAAAATCATTAGACTCGAACCTGTACAATTCATTTAAGTCACGTTGACCTTTGTGAAGGCTCAGCATATTAGTTATTATTTATTCAAAAATTTAAGAAACTTAAAACAAACTACTTTCTTCATTAAAAGAAAAAAAATAGTAGCCTAACCTCACTTTTGTTTGTTATAGTGTTTAGTGTCCTTTTGCAGTTGGAGCAAGAGAAGGAAAACTTTATGGAAAGAAAAATGAGAATTCAAAAAAGAATAAAAAAAAAAGTTCCACACATTTTTTTGTTTGCCAAGAAGTATATATATATATATATATATATATATATATATATATATATATATATATATATATATATATATATATATATATATATATATATATATATATATATATATATATATATATATATATATATATATATATATACTTGTAATTTCTTCTTATATCGACCGTACTAAACTTATTTGATTTCAAAGGATATCGGGTAGCGGTCCGTGGTTAAAAAAAAACAAAGAAAATAGAAAGCTCCTTTTTCTTTAAAACTCAATATTTCGTCAATTTATTTGTTGACTTCTTCAGGAGTGAAATAAAATTTAATGAAAACAACAGGTCAAACTATATTAAAACAATTAAAACAATTAAAACAATCGTGAGAAATACTTACAAAATTAGAGTCTACCACATAGTTCGTCAAAACAATACTTTACAGTTAAGGTAAATGAACGAAGCGACATAATGAAACAAAGAGATAAACACTTAGTATACAATTTTTAATAATGGTAGGCAAAAGTTCAATTAAAAATTAAATTAATTACAAGTCTGATACACAGCAAATAAGCAATATATACTGTAACATTTTTCAGTTAAACAACAGATAATGTTATGTTCGGCCGCGTATTCGCATTGCGTTGTTGATCCACGGAGTAGGTTATTTTTATGCTTTTTGTCATTATTTATATCGATTGTTTTTTTATTGTTTTTTTTTTTTTTCGCTACCCCCGTTAGCGCAACTTTTGCCTACCATTATTAAGAATCGTATACTAAGTGACGAAATATTGAGTGTTAAAGAAAAAGGAGCTTTCTATTTTCTTTGTTTTTTTTTAACCATGGACCGCTAGTCGTATGGTCTGTGGTTTGTGCCACAGACCACACGCGTAACGAGCTGTCAAACTTTATTACCTTTGCCGCGATATGAGCCAATCACGGAGCTTGGCGCTGGACCAGTAGCCCCCGAAGCCCCATTTCCGAGCCTCGGAGCACACCTCATCCCTCGTGCGTTCGAGGTTATGTGCGTCTTCGACTGCCGCTAACGGTTCGTAGCTGACACCGCGTGTGTCGGCGAATCGGGCCGCTATCTCGCAGGCGCCCGGAATACCGAGGAAACTGTCGATAGGTGGCGCGAATTTCAACTCGTCCGTGACGAAAACCGGCACCGACTCGTCGCCGAACGGGTTTTTTAGGCAAGTTTTTAATTTACCGACGCCAGTGGCGCCCTCTTTTCGCGCCAACGCGTGACTACCGGCGACGACCACGAACTTCACGTGTTTTATATACTCTGGTTTGTCCGTCCACACGGTCACGCGGTCCGAGTCGACTCCGTCGACAAAAAAATCGAAATTCACCCCCGCGCACTCGCCGATCCAGTGCCGCTGCAGTTTTTTGATGTCACGCCAGTCTTCCAGGGTCGGATCGGCCAGGCCGTCGTACAACGCTTTCGCGAACCTCGTGGTGCGCACGAACCACTGACGCAGTAATTTTTTCTCGACTTTGACACCCGATCTCCACGAGTTGCCGTTCTCGTCGACCTGCTCGTCGGCCAAGACGGTCCCGTCGACCGGATCCCAGTTAACGAGCGCCTCTTTACGATACACGAGGTCCGCGTCGTACAGCTTAAGGAATAAGTCTTGCGTCCAGCGGTAGTAACTCGGATCGCAGGTGGCGATCTCGCGTTCCCAGTCGAAACTGCAACCGAGCCGTTTCAGTTGCGATTTCATGCGCGCGATGTTGTCCAGCGTCCACTCGGACGGGTCTGTTTCGCGTTCCATCGCGGCGTTCTCTGCGGGCAAGCCGAACGCGTCCCAACCGATCGGGTGGATTACCTGCAACGGATGGGCGAGTGACCCTGGCGCTATGGCCCAAGTATACGTTAGCTTCAAACGAAGCATGCGAATAGAAGTAAAGAAGAAGAAGCACTGCAGGAATTTATTCATCTTTAATTTTATTTTTTATGTTTATCCTGTGCTTGTGCAGTGAAAAATCACGGTGAACTCGTATGCCGGAACGTTTCACGTTGCTTGCGATGTGTTTTATTGTGATTATCGTTTTAAAGCTTAAATAAAAACATGCGTTCTATTTACGCCACAGTTGTTTTTTTCAATGCTATCAAATTGCCCCGAACGCGCGAAAACTCACGTTTTTGCCGTTCATCCGTTGGAAACGCGCCACAGTGTCGCTGATCGCGTAGACTCGGATGTGACCCATGTGCAAGGACCCCGAGGGGTACGGGAACATGGACAGCACGTAATATTTCTGTTTTCCGGCGGCGCCGTCGTCGCTAGACGTTTCGGCAATCTTGCCGCGCCAGTGGTCTTCAATTCGCAGCTTAATGTCCGATGAAATATCCTCGCTCTGCAATTGGAGCCCGGTTTTTGAATTTTGCGTGCGCCGAGAGGACGGAACGTACCCATAACTGCAGGCCCGACAGCGACCTCGCGTACGACGCCCGAGGGTTGTTCGACGCCACCCCAACGACCACTTTTCGTAATAAAATTGTCATGTTTTAACGACATTCGTAATTTTATTTACATCGAACATAACCTATAATTCGGTGAATCGCTAGCGGTCTAATTCGGATCCTTGGTTCTTCGGCATTTATATTCCGGCCGTTGCGCGTGAACGTGTGCTTATTCAAACGGCGCGTTAAACAAAACGGAATGGAAGTTTATCCAAGCACGTCGCGCAACTGACCAGCCCTCGTTCTATGGGTTGAAGGTTAGGTCACTCGCTTCGCGTAAACAAAACGATAAATAATGAGCGACGAAGAGCCTCCGAGTAAAAAAGTCAAGCGAGATGAAGTCCCCGGCAAAGGGCAAGCCGAATCCCCGGGTGACACACCGAACCGACGTTTTTAGCGTGCGTTCCTTAACCTGTTTACTTGTAGGCTCTAGAACCAATACGCGACTCTGCCCGTATTTGGACACGATAAACCGTCAATATTTGGACTTTGATTTCGAAAAACTGTGTTCTGTTTCATTGACGAGGATCAACGTGTACTGCTGCCTCGTATGCGGCAAGTACTTTCAGGGTAGGGGCACAAACACCCACGCCTATACCCATTCGGTGGCGGAAGGCCATCACGTGTACCTCAACCTGCACACGCTGAAGTTTTATTGTTTGCCCGACAATTACGAAATCATTGGTTTGTATGTTTGTGTTAACTCAAGGAGTGCTATAACCGAGCGACCCGTAGATTCTTCGCTGGACGACATAAAGTACGTCTTAAATCCGACTTTTACCGAAAACCACATAAAAAATCTGGACAATAACACGAAACTCTCGAGAGCGATAGACGGGACCCTGTACATGCCCGGGATAGTGGGCCTCAACAACATCAAAGCCAACGACTACTGCAACGTAGTTTTGCAGGTACAATTTACGCAAAACTTGTAGAAGTTGATAACTAGACTTAATATTACATACCATGCATGTTAAGTTATATATTTTTTAAACTGGAAGTCTTTGAAGGTCCTTTAAGTTCATTTTAAACATATATATTATGTAATAAATTATTTTTTACATTTTTTACTTTTTATTTTTAAAGTAATGTACACACTTGCTTACCTTATATTTAAATAAATATTTAATTAACTTTTATCATAAACGTTTTTTTCGAAAATAAAACAGTTAAAAGGGGCCCCACGTTTGTACAAGCGGTTTTCAGGCCCTGTCCCACGTGTCGCCGCTACGCAATTTCTTCCTGAGGGAAGAAAACTACGGTAAGATAAAAAGGCCTCCTGGCGACTCGGCGTACCTGCTGGTGCAGCGGTACGGCGAGCTCACCCGAAAACTGTGGAACCCGAGGAATTTCAAGGCGCACGTGTCACCCCACGAGATGTTGCAGGCCGTCGTCTTGTGGAGCAAAAAGCAGTTTCAGTTCACGCAGCAGGGTGACCCGATCGATTTCCTCTCGTGGTTCCTCAACGCCCTCCACAAGGCCCTGAACGGGTCGAAAAAGAAGGACAGCTCCATAATATACAAGTCGTTCCTCGGCAATATGAAGATTTACACTCGAAAAATACCACCGATCGATTTGGACGAGAAGCAAAAACGGTCCCTGATGTTGACGGAGGAGTATCAGGAAACGGAAACGGAGAGTCCGTTTTTGTATCTGACGTGCGACCTGCCGCCTCCGCCCCTGTTTATCGACGAATTTAAGGAGAATATCATACCGCAGGTGAACTTGTACCAGCTCCTAACAAAGTTCAACGGCCAATCGGAGAAGGAATACAAAACTTACAAGGAGAACTTTTTGAAGCGCTTCGAGATCACCAAACTGCCGCCCTACTTGATCTTGTACATCAAGAGATTCACGAAGAACACGTTCTTCGTCGAGAAAAACCCCACGATAGTCAATTTCCCAGTCAAGTAAGTGCGGGTGTTTTTCGTAATTGCCCCTTTAGCAGGTCGCTTTTGCAGGAACGTCGATTTCGGCGAGTTTCTCACGGCCGACGTCAAATCGAAACACAAAAATACAATTTACGACCTCGTCGCAAACATCGTGCACGACGGCGAGCCCAGCAAAGGCACGTATCGGGTGCACATACTGCAGAAATCCACCGGTCAGTGGTACGAGATGCAGGACCTCCACGTCACCGATATTCTACCGCAAATGATCACTTTAACAGAGGCTTATATACAGATTTACGAGCTCAGGTGTTCTTAATCGGACGCGCGACATTAAACATTTTACATTTACCAATCGAGTTTTATTTTTAAATTTTTGACAGTTGACGCCGAAAAAATATCTGGCGCGTAAGGGTGACAACGCAATGCGTATTACTTAAAGAGGCTTTAAAATTATGATTATTACTTCAAATGCTGCTGAGCGGCGATGGTCGCTCTTCGCGAATTCAGATTAAAACAAAATGCCTACGTTTTGGTTTAAAATTTATTTCCGTCGCGTGTGACGATAATCTTTGGTGTTCTGTGACGCAAAATTCACGTGCCGCCGTGCGGTTTTTTATCTGTGGATCGAAACTTTTGACGTCTCGTCGCGATAACTGTTGTTGAATGGAGCAGATCGCGTTCACGCGGAAAATGCGCGATATTTACGCCTAAACCCAAGTCAATCTCCGGAACCGTCGACAATAAACATCCGCGCCTTTCAATTGTTTCGTTTCGCGACCGTCAAAATGTCTCGCGAAAAATCGATCCGCGTCGCTTTTCTGCTACTAACTTGCGTGCTTTCGACCACCGCTGCCCAAAAAGTCGCCGAACTGGACGAAAACAACTGGACGCAGATCCTCGAAGGCGAATGGATGGTCGAATTGTGAGTCGCGCCCGAATTCGCGAATGCCGCGTAACCCGTGTCTCTTTGTCGTAGCTACGCGCCTTGGTGCCCCGCCTGCAAGGCTCTCGAGCAACGCTGGGAGGAGTTTTCCAAGTCGGGCCCCGCGCTCGGCATCAAAGTGGGCGCCGTCGACGTCACGACGTCGCCCGGCTTGAGCGGTCGCTTCATGGTCACCGCTTTGCCTACCATTTTTCAGTGAGACCTAATATACGGCGCGGTCGCGCCTTTTACACGCGTTTGCGTTCGTTTCAGCGTTTACAACGGCCAGTTTAGGCAGTACAAGGGCTCGCGGGACAAGGACAGCTTTAGTCTGTTCGTGGAGGAACGCAAATGGGAATCCGTTGAGCCGGTGCCAAGCTGGAAATCCCCCAACTCCTTGCAGATGAGCGTCGTGTCGTCCTTTTTCAAACTGTCTCAGTCGCTCAGACAACTCCACGGAACCCTAACCAACGAATACGGTCTGCCGACGATCGCGTCTTATTTGATATTCGCGGTGGCCACCATTATTCTGGGGGCGTGTCTCGGATTATTGCTAGTGTGCGCCATCGACTTGGTCTGTCCTCCGAAACAGGCGGCGACGAAAAAGTCGCGAGTCAAAGACAAGGACAGCGACGATGAACTAGTAAGCGGGACTTTAGTATGTGAGTCTCCCAAATTGATGGTTTTTGATTTTTCCAGAACGACGACGATATCAAAGACGATTTGTTGGACAACGAAACGGAAGACAAGGCAAAAGACGGGCCGGGTGGGGACTCGGCCCTCAGAAAACGCGAAACTAAAAATTAGTGACAAAAAAACAGTTGCGCTCGGTTTGAGGTTAGGTCGCTTTATGTTGCCTTTTTTTTTAACTGAACTAACCGCGCGCAGTGAAAGGGGACCTGTGGTGCCGACAATAAAATATTTAGGATAGTTCGGCGCCGTGATTCGCCGGTCCGTGTTTTCGTGGACTACGTCATATTTTGTACAATTGTCACGCTCCAGAAATAAATCTAATTTTATTAACGGGATTTTATTCCAAATGCAAAATTTTCTCTACCGGCTCGTAGGTGGCGGCGCGAAAGTTCAGTGGTCTGTGCTACTCCGTTTTCTTTTATAAGCGTACATACCGCGGAGGACGTTACCTAATGCAGACAGCTCCTTCGAAATATGAAATGATATTTAACCCTTAGGTCACTTTATTGGGTGTTAAAGGCTGATTCCTTTTTTTTACACTATTTTGAATTCAACGTGTTTAGTTACGCGCTTTCGTGTTGGCGTTACGGTAAAAGCTTGGGTTAAGTCCGGGAAATGGGAAATGTGTTTGATTAAGTTTTGAGATGCACACAAAAATTTACCTCATAAACTCTAATCATATGTAGCGACTCCCGCGGAATATCACATATGAATCGAACATTATTCGGAATCGAATTTTGCGGGTTAACTGCGAAAAACGTTACTTCTAATCAAGTGCGAAAGCTTCAAATAATGCATAAAGTTACACACCTCCAAAAATAATAACAAACTTGCGTTGGTGATCAACACAAGCAGTGTTACGTGCAAGCCTGTGTTCCGCGGCCGCATCTGACCGTTTTCGCATCAGCGGGTGACAGTCGATTCGTACATTCGCAAGCGTGAATTTGTCAGACTACGATTTTTCGGAAACCGTGCGCCTTTGCCACGTAAACTTATGTGAGTTCTCGCGAGTTTTGTTTTCGCGGGGCCATACGACGTTATCGGTGTTTAATAGGGACTATCGCGCCCGAAAATGGGTCTAACTTTGTCGTCAGTATTCTCGAGGCTGTTCAGCAAGAAACCGATGAGGATACTGATGGTGGGCCTCGACGCCGCGGGAAAGACCACGATTCTCTACAAACTGAAGCTCGGAGAGATCGTGACGACGATACCCACGATAGGGTTCAACGTCGAAACAGTAGAGTACAAAAACATCTCGTTCACCGTCTGGGACGTCGGCGGTCAGACAAAGATTCGGAAATTGTGGAGGCACTATTTCGCCAACACGGACGGTGTCATTTACGTGGTGGACTCGAACGACAGGGAGAGGATAGCCGAAGCCGAGTCCGAACTGCACAGCATGTTAGACGACGAAGAGCTGCGCAATTCCGTGCTGCTGGTGTTCGCCAACAAGCAAGATTTGCCGAACGCGATGTCGATCGCCGAACTGACCGACAAACTTAAGCTGAACGCGATGAGAAACAGGAACTGGTATATACAGGGTACATGCGCGACTACCGGCACCGGCCTTTACGAGGGACTCGACTGGCTGTCCAACGCCTTGGCAGCCAAATGATTAGGGTTAGGGCTAAGGCCTTCGTTTTATTGTACGTTTAAATCATGCGGCGGCTACCTGAAAGCGCCGCTCTATCCACGTTTCGTTGTGTTATTGTAAATTTAACGCGTTTATAATAAAAAGTAAAATAAATAAAAACACGTCGACTGAGCTTTCGTTGTCTCCTTGTGATCACGGACCATAGAAATGACGAAATTTTGCAAGCTTGTTTAAAATATGTCGCAGTTTTAAAGTGGGACAATCACCGAGTATACCGGAACCGAAAGTACTCGATTTCAGAGGTAAAAACTCGTCGCTGCTCTTTCGTTCGTCGGAAGCCAGTCCGGGCCGAATCTTCATAGCGGAAATTGAGTGCGCGAGCTCGACATACGTACACGCCTAGATGAATTTTCGAGGATGTAGCATCTAAGAATTCACGGTCGATAAAAGTTTTCAATGAGAAATACGTCATTCCGCAAAATATCACACAAAAACAAAGTCGGATTCAATGACACAACCTGCACGCTTGGTTAAAATGTTTTGCCGGTTTAAACGTCGGGAGGACGCAGCCACTAGGAATTCACAGTCGGTACAAATTTTCAACGAGAAATACGCGATTCCGCAAAACACTACAGATAAAAAGCAAGCCCTTTTCTTTTCTAGTAATGCCAGGTTGCTAGTTGCAATTAAAAAGCTTAAGTGATTGGTTTTTCGTTTAATGACACTGCGGCAATGTCTAGAGCCCATCCGCTAAATACTTCGAAACGGCAATTCGGCACGCGAGCTCGACGTACGTCGACACCCACGATTGAGCGGCGCAACCTGCACGCTTGATTAACAGTATATTATGCAACAGGTGCGGTAAACGAGCGCAGTGCAGCGAGTGTTTAATAAACGAGTGACTGCTACCTCAAATTAAAGGTGTGGGAAATATCTCCGAAATCATAATGTCCGAAGTCGCTCGGATACGTGGAAAAGGAAATTGACGTGGTAAAGTGACGCTTCCCGCATGCTAAATCAGTATGTAATTAGGTATTTTACAGACGGAAGTAGAAAAAATATATGGAGGCAGCGGTTAGGAGTTCCCGGTCGGTAAAAATTTTCAACGATAAATTCGGCGCGCGGGCTCGACAAACGTAGACGCCCAGATGAGTTCTCGATGACCGGCGTTACGTCTGATTCGATGCCGCAAGCGCGCGTCGGCGGGAGGGTAAAAAAAGCACACAATAAAAAGAAAAATTAATCCTTTATTCTCGAAACTACGCAAAAAATACAAATTAGACGTAAAAATAATAAAAACTAATCATCTGCATATAAATTACTTAAGCCACGTATATAATATATATAGAACTATAGAATTTGTATCCGCGCCGCGTAACAAACGATTTCCTAAAATATTGTGTGTGTGTGTGTGTGTGTTTGTGGGCGGGGCCTGGGCCTCCAATGCTTCCCCGCCCGTGCTCCGCCGCTGGCCGGGACGGTTTTGAGCGCGCGACAGCGTCGTCGTCGTCCGCCATCTCGAAAATCACAGCCGCACCCCCCACCCTGTCGGACTTCGAAACCACGCCCCCTCGCGCTACTGCTCCGGGTCGAGCGTGTCCTTGAGCCGTTTCATCACGTGACCGCCGATGTCCCTCACCTCGGGCCATTGTTTCAGCGTGAAGATCACGAACACGACGAACACGACGGTCGTTATGATCCGGACCCTGCGGAACGCGCCACGTTTCGATACCTGGGGGTCGTCGCCGACGCCACGCTCACCTCGTCCGCAGGAACGGCATTATGATGCCGGCGCCGGTCGCGACCAGCAGCAGCACCACCTGCAGCACCGTCAGTAGCACGTTGATCAGCTTGACGACGAGGGCGCGTGCGTTCGAGTTATCCAGCCCCTCGAGCGTCACGTACTGCTGCTGCTGCAACGCCTGGTGCTCCATCTTCTGGATCTGGAACGAGGTGAAGCTCGAAATTCTTCAATTTAAGTAATAGAAAAATATACCCTAAAGTACAGGAAGAAGTGAATGCGACTTAAACCTAAAATAAATCCTAAATTCAACCTAGAAAAATATATACTAACTGTGATGTAACGAGACTGTTCAAAACCAAAAATGGAGCAAAAACTTAATGTACTATATTTAAGCACAAGTATTAGAAATAAGTTAGAGGATTTCAACGACATTATTCTAAATCAAAATAAAATCATACACATAATAGCTGTGACAGAAATCTGGATATACCCAAATGAAAAAAATTGTTACAACATAAACAACTACATAACGTTGCATGACCGCAGGAATACGAATAATTATAAAAAAGTAATAAAAATGAATGGCTTTAAATAAGAACTAAAAGTTCCGATTTTCACGAAATTATATATTATGACATGACAATTCTTTCGACAACACCGTGTCTTTCTCAAATGACATTTGATAAAGACACGGTGTTGTCGAAACAATTGTCATGTGAATTTCGTGAAAATCTGAACTTTTAGTTCTTATTTATTTTGATAAATGGATTTTCATCAAGTAAAAGCCACCTCAGTTCAAATTCCAAAACATAAGATTTAATATGCACAATCAAACTGGAGGACTGCGACATATCGGATCACAAAGCAATGTATGTAGAATTGAAGAAAGCGATAATTAAAAGGAAGAGGGAAAAAAGTTACCTTGAAGATAAGTGGCTCAAGAGTGTACAAGAAAAAATGCAGCAAAATAAACCAAAAACTAGCTGAAATAATAACGACCACCAAGAAAACTTGTACAAAAATATACACAGTGAAAATAAAACAAAATAATTACTGGATAACGAAAGAATACTAAGAATGGAAAAAAATTAACAACGAATATTGCAAAAACGGCTATAAAAAAGCAAGAAATGAATTAAATAACGTAAGAACGACGCTCCAGAAACAATACGCTGAAAAGAAGTTTAATGAACTGGGCAACCGACTAAAGACGATAAAGAAATAGTTAAAGAATTTAATGTATACTTGGAGAAACTTTCGTCAACAAAAAAAAAACGATAATTATAAGGAAGAGGGAAAAATTAGAAAAAAGTTACCTTGAAGATAAGTGGCTCAAGAGTGTACAAGAAAAAATTCAACAAAATGAACCAAAAACAACTAGCTGAAATAATAACGACCACCAAGAAAACTTGTACAAAAATATACACAGTGAAAATAAAACGAAATAATTACTGGATAACGAAAGAATACTAAGAATGGAAAAAAATTTACAACGAATATAAAAAAGCAAGAAATGAATTAAATAACGTAAGAACGACGCTCCAGAAACAATACGCTGAAAAGAAGTTTAACGAACTGGGCAACCGACTAAAGACGATAAAGGAATAGCTATAAAATTTAATATACACTTGGAGAAACTTTCGCCAACCAAATAAAGCAATTTTGAAAAAGAAGAAGAAGTTGTGGCTAGCACATTTTTGGCACCAACAACGATCCAAGAAATAAACGAAACGATGGATCCATTAAAAAATATTTGTGCCCCAGGCATCGATGGTGTGACAGAAAAAGATCTGCAGGCATTAAACAATATCATTGGACAAAAAATGTCCTGCAAACTGGTAACTAGCCCGAAGAACTGAAATATACAAAAAAGGAGCGCACGTCGAAATGAATAATTGCTGGAAATGAAGATACTGGAAAAAAATTATTAATAAAATTTATCGAAGCTAAAATTAAATTCGACAACCATCAATATGGAGTCCAAATGAAAGGTAGTGCACAAGGAGCGGTCGTTGATATGCTGGAATTTATGACCACTGAATTGGATAATCATGTATAATGTATACGCAAGGACCAAAAAGAAACAAGACTCGCCATTACACAGAAAGCATTCGAGTGTTTAATAAAATATCACAAACTCTATTAAAGGGCACTACCAGGAAGATGTGTCATAACCTTAAAGACTTTATAAGAAAAAATCGAATACATAAACTTATATTAACTTGAATATTATATATATTTTTTCTGTTAGTGTTTTTGTAAGGCCTCGGTGCCAGTTTGTTGTTAACTGTTCAGAGGTCTGCAATAAATTGTTATTAAAAAAAAAGTAGTATGATCGAGACGGTTCTAAGCCAGTAAGGGGGGCGGGGTTTCCATACCTTGGTCTGGCAGTGCTCGAGCATCTCGTGGATGTCGCGAAGCCGCTCCTCGCTCTGGTATTGCACCTTCTCCTCCATGTCGGCCATCGCTTGCTTGAGGTTCTCCACCTCGTTCTGGTGGAGCTCCGTGAGGTCGTTGATCTGTTCCTCGAGCCTCTCGGTCCGGAACCGCTCGTCCTGACGATGACAAGAAAAAAAGAATACGGGATTCGGCGCGCGTCCGCAACTTTGCTTAGAATTTAATTATTTGGGGTTTTGTTGGGAAAGATACTAAACAATATTAATTTATTTATGTATCGCCTGTTCTAATTATTATTTGTTCTATATTATTTGCAATATGGATTGTTCTGCTTTTTCTATATGCTTAACAGAATTTGTCCAACTTTGAGGAGGGATGTTAACACGGGGAAAAACATTGTTACGACGAATGGCAGATTTCAGTATCCGTTCCAACAAAGCAAGCAAAGACATCATCCACGTATCTATAGCACCATAAAAAACTTTTACTTAAAGGATGTTCTAGTATTATATTTTCCAAAAAGTATTATATTCACCAATGAGTTAACCTGTTTCCGAGTTAGGGTGAAATCTACTAAATCGATCACATCCATAGGTGGAATGCTGGGAAATAGGTTTTATACATCAAAAGACAATAGTGTTGCATTAGAAGGGATTTTGATATCTTTAATTTTGTTGATCAATTCAAAAGAATTTTTTAATGCAAATATTGGTTTAAAATCTGTGTGGAACTTTAAAATATTTACTAATTTTGTAGTTGTGGTGTTGTCGAAACAATTGTCATGTCAAAATATATAATTTCGTGAAAATCTGAAGTTTTAGTTCTTATTTATTTTGATAAATGGATTTTCATCAAGTAAAAGTCACCTCAGTTCAATTTCTGAATTTAAATTCCGAAACTTTAGGTAATAATCTTGTATGTTAATGACCACCCTTGGATAATCCCATTCAAAAGCAATTGGTCACTTTCTTATATCTATGCACAAACCATACCCACCTGTATGGCGAGGTTCAGGAACTGGATTTCCGTCTGCAGCGCTTTGACCGAATCGAGACCCTCGCGGCACCCTTCGAGCTGCTCCTGGAACGCGCGGAGCCGCTTGCCGAGCTCCGCGACGCAATCCTGCACGTCCTGCGGCCGACCGTACCTGCCGATGCTGTCGCTCGTCACGCTGCTCTCGCATTCGCTGCCTGCGCCGTCGTCGCTCGTGGGGAATTTCTTCGCGGCGGCCGCGGCCGCCGCCATCGACGACTGCGAGGCAGTCATCGGTAGCGTCGCCGAGCCGTGGTGTCGACCAGTGGGCGTCGCAGCCGTCGACACTTTGGCGTGGTCGCCCTGGTCGCTGCCGCCGCTGGCCGTGGGAGGCGTGCCCTCCGACGTGCTCGTCGTCGTCGCTCCGCCTCCTCCTACGTACCAAGCTGTTAAGGGGAGAACCGCCCCCCGTCGCGACGGGGCGCGACGCGTGCTGTTAGAGTGCTCGTGGCATGCTCGTGGTTAGAGGGGGCGTGGCGCAGGAACAAAGTTAGGGCGGGGTTACCGCGAGTCTACAACCCAGTAGACGCGTCCACAGAGGCGAAGTTCAAAAGAAAGCCACAACCACGGCGTTAAATCACAGGTCAAGCCTTAAGCCTACTGGTTAAATCGAAGGCCACGCCCATGGGGGCGGAGTTGAGTAGAAGGCCGCGTCCAAAGCTTTCGGATTTAATTAAAAAACAACAGGGGGCAAAAAGGGTCGTAGTTAAAAACAAGATTGCTTTCGAAAAATCGTCGCTGGGCGGGGCAAGTTCGTAGCACGTAGCGCGAAGAAGCTTCCTATTTCAAAAAGTGTTTGCCCATGATCGACACGCCCTGTACATAATTGAAAAGAAATTGGATATAGAGGTTACAGCCCTGGATCTCCCTCGTTTCCTGGTCCAGGAATTTCACCGATAGAGTAAACGGTTTTCGAGAAAATATTTTTTTTCAAATATCTAGAGCAGCGTGTGTGATAGACGAAAAATGTAAATTCAAAAATTTTAGCTCTTGATACGGCCTTTGACATTGTTTGAACCGATTTTTTTACGATTTTTGATTCGCGGTTAATAATTTACTGTGGAAAAGAACAATTTTCTGGGTCTTTTCAGTTTTTTGTCTATAATTGGAAAACCCTGTACATATTCGAAAAAGTGCCTGAAATAAATGTTATAAGTCGATAGCTTCAAATTTCGAACACTTATCGTGTTTCATAGCAACGTCCAAGAAATAGCGGAAAATCGAAAAAAAAGATGGACGCCGATGCTTGAACGCAGCCATTTTTCAACCGTGGACGGTTAAAAAGGAGCAAAATTTGAAGCGTGTAGCGGAAGTTATCGTCAAAAAACCCCTGGAACAGAGAACGGGACAGAAAAAAAAAATTTTTTTTTCGACGCTGATCGTTTGTGTACCAATGGGGGTCCCGTACCGTTACCGCGATCTCGAGTTTAGCGAGGAGGGCGTATACTTCCTAAAAATTCGAATTAATCGATTTTTCGAAAGTAACAAGCGCACCCAAAGGGTCGGAGTTGAATTGGAACCACGCCCATTTGGGATAGATGGCCGGGAAAGAGAAGGCATTCAAGGACACCCCTGGGGATCGGTGCGTGCGCGGGGCAAACGCTAAATTATCTACATTGCTCCATTAATACCCAATCACCAACGACAAACAAAAAGGCTCCACTCACTCGACAACTGGCTGATGTTGTCCGCGCTGCCGAACTTGTTCTTGATGAGGTGGGCGAACTCGCGCGGCTTCGACATCACCGAGCCGCTGAAGCCGGTGATGCCGTCGCGGATGTTGCCGCCGACGTTCCTGAAACGACCGAGATAAACTAAACCGTCCCCGGCGCATCCGCCACGGTTTTTCCTACTTGAGCCCCTGGCCCATGTCGCGCAGCACCTCGCGCGGCGGCCTGTGCCCCTGCACGCCGTGTCGCTCGAGCTCGTGGACGCGCTTCTGGTAGCCGTCGAGCTTGCGCTGCAGCTGCGCGATCACCTGCGCGCTCTTCTGGTTCTTCTTCTCGAACACGGCCTTGATGCGTTGCACCTGCTGCTTGTCCGCGTTCGCGGCCAACTTCAGGTACTCGTTGACGTTGTCTGACGGTGGAGAGACGTTAAAATCGCTAGAGTCCCCCTTTAGTACAGTTATTTTTGGCGGGAAAATTTTCGGCAAAACGTTAAGTTGGGCGTTGCGCTTTAATTACTCGCACGGCGCATCCGCCAGAAACAAAAAAACTTGACCTCGGAGCGACAGAAAACTCGAAAGTTCCTTGCTCGTCGCGAGATGGCGTTGCTCATTAAATTAGTGATTTGAATATAATAGCTAAACATTTACATATTTCTCAGCAACTGTTGTCTTTTTTTTTAATGTCACGAATAAAATGTCATATCCGGTTTGGTGAATGTGTTCGGAAACTGCTGATCAGTTTATTTGTCTTAGTCTTAAGGCTCTGTCATGTTCTTTGAGCCTAGTTGATTTTTTTGTCCGGTCTCTCCAATGTATTCTTTGCCGCATATGCATGGAATCCTGTAAATTCCTGCCATCTCAAATGGAATTTTGTCCTTGACGGATCGAAGATGTTGAGAGATTTTGGGACAAGTGGTAAATCTGGTTTTGACGTTATATTTCTTTAGAACTTTTGATATGTGGTCAGTGATGTGTTGAATATAAGGAAGGACAACAGTGGCAAGTGTGGGATTGCTTTCGGTTTCACTGCTATTGGAAGGTTGTGGTGAAGTGTATTTTGTGATTGAATGTTTATTATCTTTAATGTGAAAATTATTTATTTAATTCTGGGTTCAATGACTCGGACTGGCTCTGTAAACAAGAGAGTTGATAACTGATGAGTTTTGGGCCGGATGGTGATATGACAATGCATTAAGGTATTGGTCTGTGTGATGACATGACCCAATGTTAGGTCCGATTTTCTATTGATAAGAATATCTAAGAATGGAAGGTTGTTATTAGTTTCTATTTCAATGGTAAAACGTATGTTAGGGTGTATAGAGTTTAAACGTCTATGAAAATCTACTAGGGATTCCTGACCATGAGGCCAAATAACAAAAGTATCATCTAAGTATCGTTAATTTTGGTTCTACGTGGAAGGTGTCGAGAGCTTTCTTCTCAAAGGCTTTTTAAAGTTGACGATATGATCCGTCTGTAAGAATATGTTGAGTCTTTTCCTTTATCTGCTTTTAGGATTTCTTGATTTTTACTTATGGACATTTTCGAGGCATTCGATCCTTGGGAAACTCAAATGGATAACTAGCTACCCGATAGCTACTGTTCCCCTAATTTTCCTAACCCTCGTGATGTACCGCAGGGATCCTACCTGGGACCCTTATTACTTTTAATATTTCTTCTCATCTTCTTGATTGTTATGTTTTGTGGACGATCTAAAATGTTATCGAGCCGTTTCCTCTTATGATGATTGTTTTAAATTGAACATTAGCGATCTTAAGAGTAAGAGTTAGGGACATAGATGGAACAGTTTCCAGAGTGCAACATCAGACTTCACAAGAATTTCGGCCATTAGCTTACAGTCTGGAACCCTCATTATGCAAGTCACATTCATAGGATACAGCAAGCCCAATGGAAGCTTCTGAGGCTTATAAATCAAACGTTCTAACCTGTGAAGGGTACAGTTATGACTTTAAATGGCTTCAGTAGAGTTAATGATGTGATGCACTCAGTTTCATCTAGAAACACCAGATACCTAAACGTATTTTATTTTAATTAATTAATAAACACTACTTCCAGCAAATCCTCTGGGTCTGTTATTATCTGTTATCTTCTTCAAAACAATCATTCCTACTTCAAATGAGAAGCAATTTCAAAAAAGCAATCATTAACCAAAAAGATGACTCTCGATGGCACTAGATCCAATAGCTTGGATATTATTGCTATAAGTATAGTTATTACACAATTGGACCTACTTTGCAAATCAAAGAATGTCGTTGCCAATATTTTCTAAATGTTTCAAAAACAGTGGCAAAAAGAAGAAAATTGCAGAGAATAAATCTACAACAAGACTTCGTAGATTCAAACTTGGAGATTGTAAATTTGAATGATTAAACAGATTAAAAGCTATACTTTGCAAATTTACGTCTTATCACTCAATGCTGATGTTTCACGAGTGATGCGCACTTATGCAACCGACGCCACGTGGGCGAGTTGAATTTTACCGACCCACCCACCGTCTCTGAGCTTCTGCTCGGTCCTGATGAGGTCCCGCACCCGTACTATTTTGTTTCCGAGGTGCTCCAGGACAGCGCTCGTCTTAGCGTCGAGGATATTGTAGTCGGTCTCGTCGTCTTTGCCGCTGCCGTTCGACGCGAACGACGCCGCGTAGAGGTCGGACGCGTCGGCGTCGTGCGTCGAATCGTCGGCCGCCCCCGGGTCCGACGCCGGCGCCGCCTCCATCGTGCCGCGGCCCTGAGACGTGGGGGAGCGGTGCCGCCGGTGGTGGTGGTGGTGGTGGGCGCCGCCTTCGTGGCTCTGGGCACAAACGTTCGAAATACTGACAATCATTTTCTGATAAGTCTTATATAATAGTGTAACACGTACGAGGTGTGTTCGAAAAGTAAGGCGGCGTTTAAGTTTTATTAAAAAGTATTGTATTGATTTATCAAAATTAATACTGTTCCCTTCAAAGTTTAATACACTTGTGTCAACGTGTTTTATAATCCTCGAAGCACTTTCTAGTATAGTGCAGTAGTATAGCACAGTATAGTCCGGTGATATTAATAAAAAATTTGATGTTTCCTTTCCTGTGGTACTTTAACAAAAATTTTAAAAACCCGTTCTCAATGAACCAAAAAGAAATCATGGGTTTTCGCGTCAGCAAAGAGTTCTAGCAAACATCTACAAAAATAGAGTCAGATAATCAAAATAAAACTGCTTGGTCTATCGTGTCTGAGATAAGTGGAAGGAATAAACGGCCAAAGAATTTTGGGATTAAGAATAATGATAATATTATTAAGGAAAAACTTTTTTACAGAAACTATTAATAAAATAGTTGATAAAATTAAAAAGTCATCTAACATGCACAAAAATTCATTTCTAGATGTAATTGGAAGCTTCCCTAAAAGTATGTAAATTAGACCTTTCTCTCAAGAGGAAATGTCGAAATTAATAAAAAATAAAACAAAAAACAAAAATTCTTATGGCCCTGATAGAGAGGTGCCTTTTGTAATATTCAAAAAGTTTGCCGACTATATCCCGAGTCCATTGACCTCCCTGAATGCATCATTAACAGAGGGAGTTTTTTCTCGAGCCCTGAAAGTTTCGCGTGTGGCTCCCATCGTTAAAAAGGGAGACAGGCATTGTGCAGAAAATTATCGTCCAATAGCAATCACGTCATGGTTTGCTAAAATATTTGATTGTATGAACCACGAAATTCTTTTAAATAGGATGGAACAATGCGGAATTCGTGGAATAGCTCCGAACTGGTTCAGATCGTTCTTAACAGTATGTTGAAATAAGGCAGGAGAGGGGCAACTCGTGTCAAATTATAAAATCTCAAGTCCAACCTGTAGATGGAGGCGTACCGCAAGGTACAGTGCTTGGCCCTGTTTTACTTATCCTTTTTAGCAATGAACTTTCTGCTCACCTACCTAGTTTGGACCTATCAGAGTTCGCTGACGACTGTTCAAGTTTAGTCTCCTCAGACTGTTAACAAACTCTAAATAGCTGGTTTAACACTAACGAACTTTTTTTGGATGCCCAAAAAATAAGTGTGCCCAGAAAACAAAAAAGACCTTTCTGTGAATGTCTGGTCGGGCGAGGAGGCCGTTAAAATAAAAAAGCACGCTAAATTTTTTGGGGCTAGAGCTCGACGGAACCCTATCGTGGGAAACTCAATGCCAATTACTTTCTTCAAAGATGCATAGTTATTGTTTCCTAATAAAAAAAAAGTAAAAAACTGTTTTGACTGGAAAGTGCACGATAAATTTCTACTATGCTCACATCTACTCGAGATTAATCTATCGTATTCCCTTCTGGGGAAATTCAAGTCATGCGACATCTGTTCTCGATCCCAATCCCAAAAAAGAAGTCCTAAGGTGTATTGCTGGAGTGTGTAGGCCCCTCGTCCAGGAGTTTAAAATACTGCCTTTAGCGTGTCTATACATATTAGAAGTTTGTTTATGGGAATATAAAAATAAAAATACCTTACAAAAAAACCGAGATTTCCACGACTGGACTAGAATTTTCAAAAAAATATTTTACGAACGCCGGTATTAGTCTCCAATAGACTGTAACCAGTGTCAATCGAAACTAAAGTTCTTCCTCCTAGAAAACTGCTTTTATAATTTAAACGAATATTTTACCTATTAATGTTTGTCATCACTGTATGTTTTGCTCTGGCATATATTTTTATTATATAAATTTTTAATGTAATTTACTGCCTCATTTGCATGCTCTATATTGACCTACTTCACCAAATCCATAATACACCGATTGCATTCTAAATAATATGTGGGATAGTAAAGATATTATTATTGTTATTATCATTATAGTATAGTAGAGTCTTCCCTTCCCATTATCTTAATGATTAAAAGGACCTGAGATGAAATACATCCATAATCCATACGGTACACGCGCGGAGCGCCTTTAAACATAACCTACAACCTGGTTTCATTTCTGTGTTTTTTATGCCGGCAAGTAAACATATGGTTTCAGATTCTATTATATTTAGGCGAAATGAAAAATGATTTAGAGAAAAAGAACAACAATTGCGGGAGTACCATATATATGAACAACAGCCTCCACTTACTTTGGCGCTCTCGGCGGAGCCGTGGCTCAGACTCTTGACGTGGTGCGGGTGGTAGGCGCCGCCCCCGGCGACGTGGTGGTCGCCGCCTTGCCGGTGCCTGCACGGCGACGCGCTCCTGCTAGACGTCTTACTGTTGGCGGCGGGCTGTTGACCGCCGCCGACGTGCAGGCTGTCCATCGCTGCCAGCCTGCGCACAAGCAAGAGATTCACTAGCGATTCGCGGCCCCGGTCCACCAAGATCAGCTGCATCGCGCGGGCCCCAAGTTTAGACGCCGAAACGAGCGATAGTTTTCGTTGTTATCAATCGTTGGTGAATCTCGCACGAAGATAACCTATATTTTCGCGATTAGAGGCAGCGGCGCCGCGCGTGTAAGCTGCCCGACCGAAAGCCGAGCATGGTATTGTAAGTATGCGACACCCACAGATACGATGGGCCACGAAGAAGGCAGTTGTAAGGAAAGCATACAAAGTATACACTTCTGCTTGGTCTATCGTGTCTGAGATAAGTGGAAGGAATAAACGGCCAAATAATTTTGAGATTAAGAATAATGATAATTTTTCTACAGTGGCTCCTAATAAAATAGTTGGTAAAATTAAAAAGTCATCTAACATGCACAAAAATTCATTTCTAGATGTAATTGGAAGCTTCCCTAAAAGTATGTAAATTAGACCTTTCTCTCATAGATAGAGAGGTGCCTTTTGTAATATTCAAAAAGTTTGCCGACTATATCCCGAGTCCATTGACCTCCCTGAATGCATCATTAACAGAGGGAGTTTTTTCTAGAGCCCTGAAAGTTTCGCGTGTGGCTCCCGTCGTTAAAAAGGGCGACAGGCATTCTGCAGAAAATTACCGTCCAATAGAAATCACGTCATGTTTTGCGAAAATATTTGAATACGCCATGCTGCTGAGATATTTTGTAATCTTAAGTATACAAAAAGAAATGATGGGCAGTGATCTTGCTCTCATTCAAAATAAAAGTGACTTATTTGAAGGTCAGTTCAATTTCCAAAAAGGTAAGTCCACACTGGATGCTATCGTAAACAAGGTTAGAGTAATTATTTAGATACAGCTAAAACGGTCTAAATGTGGAGTGACGGGGTCCCGCTTTTTATTTTAGCGACTCTAAGATTGGGGCGTCGTGAGCTTCACTCAGGGTGGGACTGAACCAATTTCACAGTATCATATCAGATACATCTTGGGATTTTATTTTATAAAACAATTTAAACATAACTGATAAATTTTGTAATTTTATGGATGTCTTGGAATCTGCTTATATTCGATCATTTCCAGGGAAAATGTAGGTTGTGCTTTCGCTACTTTCCCAATTGTTTAGGCAATACAGCAGTAATATTCTCTTGAAACATCAATACAAGGAATATAAAAAACTTTATCGAGCTACAATAAGTAAGGCTAAGATCGAAGCCAATGATAATTTGATACGTTCATCAACTAACAACACCAAATGCGTGTGGGATGTTATAAATAAAATAAGTAAGGGTAGTACTTCCAATATAGATCCCATTTCATATTTGGATAAAATTGAACAATCATCTCATTTTACGCTTGCTGAACTTAGTTTTAATGAAGTTGGACCCAAAAACCAACAGTCGTAGAAAAAGTATAGTATGCAACACGTTCTTTAAACTTTTTAACTCACTCGTCAAATGCCGTTTACCTATTACAGAAGGGAGTAGAAAATATACTATTTCTGACCTATCTTGTTCCACATGATTACTAAAACACAACTGTAGATGTAAGGTCACTCCTAAATATTTAATTTCGGAAACAAACTCAATTTTATTACCGTGAATATGAACTTTCACTTTAGAACTGATAACCATGCATTTGGTTTTGGAGAAAGGCGTGTCATCCGCCAATAAGTTGGTAAATCATTTTTTTGAAAACCTGATAAAAGCGGACCCAACACGCTTCCCTGTCCCTATGACTAGAAACATTACTATAAATTTTAGTCTGGTGAGAATTATCAGATAAAAAGTTCTTTATCAATTCTAGTGCGCCGTTTTTAATGCTATATAAACCTAATTCTGTAATAAACATGTCCATCTAAAAAGTCTCACATGCACGTTTTAAATCTACAAAAACAATCGCGTTTTTCCTGCATTTGTGTTACTTATTTGAACCTAATTTTGAAATTTTTTTTACCCGGCGTTTGTTATTCCTCGAACGGCTTCGGCCGTTCGATCGTCCTAACCTCACTTCTCGCGTGTCGGGCAGTGTATGTCGCGTAAATCGACAATTATTAATCGACTCGCGGTCAAGGGTCGCGCGACACCAGTCGGGCCGCTCGTTTGGCGGCCGAGCTCGAGGTCAATATTTAATTAGCGTCGCCCGGGAACTATCGACGGGTCGACGCTACAATGCGGGGCTCAAACAAACTGACTCATACAGGCGGTTTATGGCGGAAACGTTTACGTTACCGTTACGAGCGCGTAAATATTTGTTTAGTGACCCGCGCGGGATGCAGCCGTATGAAACATTCACGAGTCACCTCTCCTTGAACCCGATCACTCCAATTTTGCGCGCAAGCCTCACCTCCGCTAGCTGTACGGACCGTTGGCCAATTCCATGGCGCCGAGGCGCAAAGCCCCTCCGCCGGAACGCGAAAGACGGCGAGGGGCGCGGCTTTTCCCTGCGTCCGGAATCTCCTCCCGTCCACTACGCACTCGAATTTAAGCGAAGTTTTTACGCGAAAACCGTCCTTCCGTCCGCAATAACAAAAACTGTCAACTGTCGTCGTCCAAAGTTGGCAACGGTAGCGCGGCGTTGCCGACTCGTGAACTCTCGTCGCGTACGCTGACGAGTTTCGCCGCCAACGCGGCGGCGAACGATTGCCTGAACTTCGGGCTCACGGACTCGAGCAAGCTGTACGGCGTCTCGAAGAAGGGGCCGGGGTCCCCGCACACTCGGAAACCTTTCGCCGACAACTCGACGCGCAGTTCGCGCCCCTCGAGGGTCTCGACGTCGATATACACGGCCGAATCGGTCGCGGGCACTTTGTCGCTGACGCGGATGCGTGTCGCGTGGTCCCGCACGTCCTCGATCACGGCCTCGGCCTCCGCCCGCCACGTTTTCGCGTCCAGGACGCGCTCCGACATTACGTAAACACGCGCAGCTGTTTCGCGGACGCGGCAACGTCGCGCGCGCCGCGCCACCTGGCCGGCGTGCCGCGGAAACGCGGGCGATAAATCAGCTGTGAAATTGTCGAATCGGCCGATTGAAAAAACGGGCCATGTCAGGCAAAACAAAACCGTGCGGCGAGGTGAAAGCGGCGGGCAAAGTTCTCGCGAGGTGCGTCGTTCGCGTTTGACGGACCAGCGCGCAAAATGCCTCAAGTGCTGAGCAAGTCGCTGCTAAACGACCCGATAACCGCGTCATGTTATCAGTACGTCCATCCCTGGACGGAGGGTTGTCTACCCTCGATATGCGGCTGCTACCTCTACTGCATAGTCGATTCGCTGCGGATATACGGCACGGTTTATCTGGTAAGTGATAGCGCGATGAAATTATTTATCAGAAACTTAATAAAAATAATAAAACACGACGAGCTTTTGCCGTGTGCCGTAGGCTTTCACCACTTGTCGTTTGACTGTGGCGGATGACGTCAATCGCTCGTCACAGACCACGGAAGGTTCGGAGCGATCGAAAATCGAAGGGAATCGGGCCCGAGACCACTCGTTGTAATTAATGGCTCGCCTCGAACAGCGTTCCGTGCTAATTGGAACAATTTAGGAATGTATGCGTCAATTAATTCGTCGTGTACGTGATTTGGGAAGGCTCCAGTCCGCTGTCGTTAATTATGAATTATCAGCCGCTATTTTGGCTCGGAAAAATTTATTGTAACATTTGCGGCACTTATGCCGGTAAAAGAGAGACGGAAATATTAAGCGGTTTTTTGGAAAAATCTCTTTGGCATTACCACAGAATATGTGAAAGTGTTTTTTTTTTTTGGTTGGACTATGTTCGATTGTTGCAGCGCAAGGAATTCAAACATGTTTTTTTTTAAAGCAAAGTTGAAAGTCCTTTTTACTTAATATCCATTTTCGTGGGGTCTTTGATCCAATAGTTTTCGGTTTTTACAATTCCTATACTATTATCGACAAAATTAACGTTTAAGGTTCATAATGACGTAGTGCAACTATCTGTCTGTTTTTTTTTTGTTTGAAACGTTACAATATTTATGTCTTTTGATAATCTCTCCCTTGTTTTTTATCTATAATAATTATTTAGTTGATTTTAAGTACTCGATAATGATACTCAACATTGTTTTCTTTTGGAAAAGTTTATTCGAATTTTCTGAGACATAACAAATGTCGCTCAGAACCAAAAAAAAAATCGCGGAAAATTCCTAGGTGGAATTAGTTATTTTCTTTAAAAAAAAATGAATAGTATTTGGAGTTTTTCTCAAAGAAAAATACGGTTTCGAATGACAAAATATGGTATATTGTGGTTTTATGGAATTCTAACCGAAATTTAACTTTTGTTCCAGGAACTTATGACACGCATATTTTGCGATTTAAAATTCCATCTATCGTCATACTGCGAGCACAAAGTTTCACCTCCCAAATATGTAATTATGAAGAGTGTCGATTATTATGTCTAAAATTACTTTGCCAGAAATGCTCGGAATGTTGTAAAAGTGTTGACTCACATGAAACATTCTAAAAGGAGATGTCCATACATGAATTATTTAGTAAGGCTTTTATTGAAAAGAATAAAATATATTGTTGCTTATAATAGCATAATAATATTTATTTTATATTTGCACAATGACGTCCAACATAAGATACTTCCGTGTTACTCTTTTCAGGGAACTTTTATGGACATAGTTTACTCTCTCAAGTCAATCAAGGGTTGGGAAAATAGCTGGAGACTAATCAAGATCTCTTCTTCCCAAGTTGTGTATATAATATTTTTCCTACTCAACAGATCTACGAAATCAGTATTTATTTATGGAACTGCTTCTATTTAATCAATATCCAATTGCGTGTATCCATACGGCAGTATTCACTTACATACCAATGAATTTTCCCAAAATTTTGAATAGTCGCCTAGAATTCGTGAAAACTCTCAAAAATTTCCTGTAATACCTTCGGTCGTTTCAACTGATTTTCTTCGGGTATTTTGCATGATGACAAACGAAAACTTTCCCATATCAAGTTTTCCAAGGATTCGTAATTCTTGTGATTGTTCTAGTAAAACTTGCATCTTACTTGTTTTCTTAATTTCCTGTAATTCTTGTAAAATAAAATTATATTACCCAAACATCTTTCCTATTTAAGTGTACCGATAAATGTACGGAATGTTGTTTACTAAACTGACGTAAACATTTGTCAAAATGTGGTTAAGGAATAGCTTTCAGAACTAACAACACGATAGGAAAATTTTTCAAAAACAATAAAACGAAATGTCCCAAATCTCAAAAATCAGGTGTCTATAGGTTGAAATGCGGATCTTGTCCTAAAATTTATATTGGACAAACAGGTAGAACACATTTTTGACGACAATTTTGATATTTTACATACAGCCACAAAAAGTAGAAAATTAAATTTATTGGAAGCCATGGAGATGAACAAAATCAAACGTTCAAATGTATTGCTTAACGATCAATTAGATTTAAATACCTCTCCATTATTAAACTTAAATTCTCACAACATCTATTAAGTTTTTATTGTCATTTCTCGGTATATATAGTAGCAGGTAGTTTGTAAATACTACATTTGATAAAGACAGGGTGTTGTCGAAGCAATTGTCATGTGAATTTCGTGAAAATCTGAACTTTTAGTTCTTATTTATTTTGTTAACTGGATTTTCATCAAGTAAAAGCCACCTCAATTCGATAAGCTTTATACGTTGACCGTTTTTTAAACCAAGGGTTTGATCCGTTATTCTCGTATTTATCTCGTTCGCTTTATTTTTCCAACCCTGTCGCCATAGTGCACGCTCCTAATGAAGGGCAGGGTACCGACCAAAGAGGACCTGCGTAAGACGCTCCACGGCATCGCGCAATCGACCGCGTTCCTCAGCTTTACCGGCTTCGGGTACTCGCTGTTTCTGTGCTCGCTGAGGTAAGGCCTCGTCCGTACCGCGCGTTTTTTTCACGACGCGTCTCGCGTAGGCGACTCCTCGGCCACTTCAACGTGCTAACGGTGTCCGCATTGCCGGCTTTCCTCGCGAGCGCGTTGGCCATCTTGATCGAGAGGCCGTCGCGCAGGACCCTGCTCTGTCTCTACGTCAGCAACGTCGCGACCGAAACCGTGTGGAACATGCTGGTCGCACGGCACCTGGTGCGGAACGTCGCCTACGGCGACGTCGCCATCTTCGGCGCCAGCATGGCCCTGCTGCTGACGTATTTCAAGGGGGGCTGCCACAAGGAGACGAACGATCCTATGTTCCGCGTCCTCAGGTGATTTTTTTATTTATTTATTTATCGACGGGCCAACCGCCCAATATATAATAAGATTCACATAAACAAAATAAAATAAAACAGAAAGAAATAGACAGATAAAAACCTGAGCTTAGTATGACAGTATTGAGAGGGGGGGGGGGCAATCTTACCATGAGAATTTGAGTACAGTACAGTAGATTATAAAATATGGTGAGATACCTATGCATGCGACGAATCTGGGGAGTTGTAAGGTACAAGGGTGACCACACACACACGGAAGGCACTTTTTGTACTCTTTCGGTAAGGGACGATGTTAACCGTCCCTGTATTAAAATGTTTCTCAATTTTTGTTTATTAATTTTGATGATCTATTCAACCCTTTGAAAAGTCTGTGTAAATGGCATGAACGTGAGACTCCTCTTTCGATGATTCCAGCAGAAAATCTGTAAATGTAAGCAAGTTTACACACACAACCGATGGAATAAAGTTCCTTTCCTTTTTACTGTTAACGAACTTCCCAAAATTCCTTTATATATATATATATATATATATATATATATATATATATATATATATATATATATATATATATATATCGGCGCCCCCTCGCTATTCAGGTTCGTATTGGGGCCCTACGAGGAGAAAGACTTCCGGCCGCGGTCCAGCCAGATGAACACATTCCACAGGCAGCAGGCGACGACGACCAACGACCCGGACGACGGGCGGGGCTGGCGGCGACGGCAGGGGGCGCCGCCCCGCAAAAACCGCGTCCTGGCCTTCGTCGCCGGCGCCCTCAAAGCCTACAAGCGTCTCGTGTACCGGCTGAAGTGTGGCGACAGGCACCACGCGTGCCCCCACCCGTTCGGGTGCCTCTACTACGTCGTGCAGGGTGGGGCCAAGATGTTCGGCGTCGGTTTCGCGATCCAGGTGGCGTTGAAGTTCGCGCTCAACTCGCGACGCGTCCTCAGGTCGGCGGCGGCTGCCCGCCACCTGTTCATGCGCAAGGAGACCCTCGGCCTCGGGCTCTTTCTCGGCACCTACTCGGCCGTCTTTAGGGTGGGTATGGTCTGTTCATAGATATAAGAAAGTGACCAATTGCGTTTAAATGGCATTATCCAAGGGTGGTCATTATCGTACAATGCAACAAGATTATTACCTAAAAATGATGTTTATTTCTCGTCGACAGGGGGCGTTGTGCGCGCTGCGCCGCCTGTATGGCGAAGACAGGCCGTGGTACGCGGTGCCGGCGGGTCTGCTGGCCGCGTTCGCCTTCAAGAGGTACCCAGACACCACGGTGGCGCTCTACGTGATGTGGAAAGCGGCCCAGGTGCGTAGCGGGGTGGGATTCTCAAAAAAGGTGCGCCACAGAGCTCAGATACGAAAGACAGCGTGAAATATTCAAAGTTTGGGATCCTACGTATATAATTGAAATGAAATGAAATGTTTTGTTATCATGAGCATCCGTGTTATTACGCACAAACATTACTAAAACTACGCTTGTAATTGACATAAGCAATGCATGATTATATATTCGAATCGTAGTAAATTACAAAGCTAATTCACACTAATATTGATATTAATATAAGAATCTTTTATCATTTTTTGGAAGCTTTTTACATTCGGTACAGCATTGAACAATCGAAGCCCATCACTAAAGAGGCAACAAACTGAATATTGGAATCATTTTTACCGCTAACATTATAAGAATGTTTGTACGACTTAGGAACGAAATAATCTTGTAAATTTAAAAGTAAAGTAAAAGTAATTTATTTTTTATTATATATATCAGCCAAACATTATAGAACTCAATACTCTGAGACAACGACAAGCACCCTAATACCCAATACCTCTATTTTGTAGCACTTGTATTCTATGAACACCACTGTTCTTACAAGAAATCAAAAGCGAAAATGAGAGCTGATAATCGCATTAAAAACAAGATTGCTTTCGATAAATCGTCGGTGAGCGGGGCAAGTTCGTAGCAAATAGCGCAAATCGCCTTTTTATTTTAAAAAGAAGGCGCTTATATGTATATATATATATATATATATATATATATATATATATATATATATATATATATATATATATATATATATATAAGCGCCTTCTTTTTAAAATAAAAAGAAGGCGCTATATATATATATATATATATATATATATATATATATATATATAGTGTTCGAAGTGTTTTCGGAGCGCGAGCATTGAAGATGCCAAGTGAGATTTTGGCGAAACGTCTGCAGGATTCCAGTCCGAGTTCAACGAGCGAACGGATGATATCCCGGAGTATAGTGTCATCATATATACATATACATATATATAATACAATAATATATTTCATCGATTTTCGAAATTAACAAGACATCTGCTCCAGTGGCTAAGCTCAGGCGAAAGTCTAGGCAAGAAACCTATCTTTTTTCCAGCTTGCGATCGTCGTTTGTTTTTCTGACATTTGCATCATAAGATAATTTTAACTTTTCTTTCGTGCGAGACTTTTGCTTTATCGAGCTAAAATCTGCAAAGTAGCAAAAACCATTTCGAAACACATCGAAATCATCACAAAATTTTAAATCTGAAGGCAGCGGTGCGCTGAAAATTACAAGGCGAAGAAAAAATGCTGGAAATTATTTTCGAGGTTCCCAAATGGCCATCAGAGGGTCCAATTGCGATCTTGAGATTTAAAACACGCAAGATTTTCTTATATTAATAATACTTAGGGGGAAGATTTTTAAAGCTGAGAAAAATGCAAATCTTTTTTATTAGGTGCTTGTTATCCGATTTCTCAAAGGAAATAAATGTCGAAAACTCCAAAATCGCTTAATACATGTTGGGATGGTTAAAAAGGGCTGCCACCAGATGGCGTTTTCTGACATAATGGCAAAAAAAATAATTTTCTGAAAAAAAATTAAATGCAGCAACAACCCCGTGAAAGCCGCATCTCAGTTTCTTTATCCTAACCTAAAATACGAATAAAAGAATTTAAAACTCAAAAGAAGTTGAATTTTGATAAGCATCTTCACTCTATGATTTGTTGTTGAATTAAGGTTCGTTGTTTATCTTAGTTTATATCAGTTTTTTTACAATACCACAGATATTATCACTACGCTGTGATACCCTTATCTGTTTTCAAATGTCGATTATTATCACTTTTTTTTAATAAAAAATTGGGTTTAAAGGGTAACTAAATAATTTTGATAGAAAATTAGATTGTCGTAATTGTCTAAATTTTATGGTAGATGAGGATTCTAATTTTTATGTGTGGTATTTTGGGTGATCGAATTATGGGAACACTGTTTTTTTATGGTAAAATGGCCAAATTTATTTGAACTTTTTTATCAACCACTTGCCGATTTTATTAGAAAAACATGGTATAAATTATGGACAGATAAGTGGCGAAGCCCGTGATGTCGACAGAAACGTCACTAACGATCGGCTGGAGACGACGTGGCCAAAACTAGCTGACGACATTTTTAATGCTGACGAAACTGGTATTTTTTATAAAATGGCGCCAGATAAAACTCTTAAATTTCGAAGCGATCATCTTCCAAAAAGTGAGGAGTTGGAAGATTTTATGGTGATAGATCAGGATTTGCCTACAACCGCCATATTACAACAAGCAAGAAAGGGTGAGGAAGACCGGCAAGAGGAAGAACGAACGAAGAAGTCCTGAGAATGGCCGATGTGCAGAGAGAGCTTCTAAACATCGTACCTGGCAACAGTGCCCGCACAGGGCACTGTTGCCACCAGTCATCGCAAATATGTTTCTTCGGGTTTACAGAACACCTACGCATTGACACATTTTCTCCCAACACCCCGTCGCTTATTCAACTTTTCGACCAACTTACCAAGAAAAAAGGTCACATCAGGTAACAAAGTAAGGAATGTAGGCCGACTTGTAATTAATAGAGTCGCTTACCTTCTCAGAATTCCTTACCCTAATAATCTATTTACCGAGAACCTGGTCGTGCTAAGTGTTTTTCTCGTAATAAGCGATTATGTTAATGCCTTTATCGATATGTATAAAAGCACACCATTGTTTCAATCAGTTGTAATTTGACCAAGCAGCACCAAGAGGAAGACGAAGATGAAGTTGATTTGGGACCACCACCAACAAACCCTATATTCAGTTAAGCTGCTAGAGAAATTTTTTATGTATCATGGGGAAGATGCCCCTTTCGAAGAAATGGTGAAAATACAGGCCAAAGTACGAGATACGTATGGCATACTAAAAAAAATTCAAAAGATAGTGACCGATTATTTGAAACATTAAATGTAGTTCTTAAATAGTTACATAAAATGTTCCTAAGTAGATGTTAAAATATGTATATAAAATAATTAAATATTACAGAACACATATGAGTACTGTTATTTTCAAGTGCCTACAACTCGTAATAACAAAAACTCTTTATAACTTTAAACTCTTTTTAACAAAAAAAAAGCAGTCCCTTCAATTTCGCTATATAGAGTGTCGACCGTATTTTTTTCTTAATTGTTGTATCAATAGAAGATGCATTTTCCCCCATGTTCGAAGGGTTATCAAATCCAATACTTTAGAAAAATTACCTTCGTAAATGGCTATTACACTGACGAAATAAACGATTTGGTTTCATAACAGCCCTTTCAGTCGCGTTTCTTTAGATTACTTACAGCTTGGGCATCCAGAAGGGTTATTTGCCGGAGGTGCCGGGCTTCACGGAGCTCCTCTACTGCGTGAGCACCGCCGTTTTGTTTCACGCGGCGATTTTGGAACCGACCAATCTCAGGCCGAGCTACTGGAAGTTTTTGCATTCCATATCGGGCGGTAGGATCGCTTGCATGAACAGGGCGCCGTTGGACGCGTGGGGCCTCGGCACGTCGGAGTCGTTGGCCCGCGTCCTGGAAACCACCAAAACGGTGCCGGTGGTGCTGTTTTGAAAGGCGCTCTCTCTCTCTCCGACCATTGGTTAACACGTTACCAAAGAGTTGATTTTTTTTTTACGCTACGTCACGCGAGATGCTTAAGTTAGGTATATTTTTTATAGTTACATATCGCCTAATAAAGACGTTATCGTTACTAGCTAGTTTGTTTCCATAATGACAATGACGGGATGATAACGCGATTTGTTAGCACGTTTTGCACGCTAGGTGTCGCCATAGCGCAAAAGTTTCAGATCTGTGGTCAGTAGTTTCCGTATTAATACGCGAATATAGGTAATATGCCTCAAAATGTAGCCACCGACCTGCACTTGCCACTGGGCTGGGCATATTTTGAGAAAATACTGTCATAAAAATGCGGCATCTAAACTTATTGACGTTCTGTCAGCAGCCATGTTGATTAGAAAGAATATTTCCTTTACAAATTTACGAGCAGTACATACGACAATTATATTGTCTGCAAAAAAGTAATTTATAGCCACTTGTCTGCTATCAGCGGTGAAGTTTTAATTAATTACTTGACACAAAGAGTCGTATCCTAGCCACCAATTCTGTCTTGCTTGCGCCTCGCGGACGACCTTGACACTTCAAAAATCGTCGTAATTGGACGCAATTATGAGTTTCTACCGATCGTTTGATAAATTTTTCATCTAAACAGGAACGTCATAAAATAAATAGGGATCCATAAGAATACAGAATAACGTTAACAAAACGCAACGCTGTCGACATTGAGAGAGCATTTTGCTCTTTGATCGTACGTCTGGTTTAGGTTTAGTTCATACGGGAATCAATCTTTAATTTTTTAATGACTGATCTTTTAATTTGCTCATGAGAATCCGTATTTTGAATCAATTCGTTCGAATAACACAGCTCTAAGAACAAAGGAATTTGACATTTTTGTTTTTGTCCGATTTTTACATTTATCGGGGGTACTAGGCGTACTTGGTGATTTGAGAATGTTATTTGTAGGTTATATTTTGATTTTCGATAAAATTTCGCCAACTAGTTTTATTTCCAATTTTAATATTTACGAAGCAGTAATGGAATAGTGTGATGCGGATAAATGATAATTTAAAAGCGCAAAACCTCGAACAACTTTGACAGCATATACGTCACACTAATTTTGCGTATATGGACGTCTAGCGTTATCCATTACATCCCGATACCACTTTTGTCTCCCAAAATAAAATTGTCTAGTTAATTTGAACGATTTTTTATTTTAATAAATATACGTGGATAGCTAAACCTAACCTAACATTCAAATGAGATCGTCGTAGTAGACGAGATCGCGCTTGTCCCTGTGGTTGCCCTTTTGCGAATGCGTGGACGCTATAAAAATGGCGCTTATTGCCAAAGAAACACCAAACAAAAAATAACCTACCTAGGGTAGCCCAAGCTACCGAAGACGTCGCGTCGTTGATGGGCTCGATTTGAGGCTGTCTCCTCGCCAGAGACACCTGCAGCTGTATGCCGGATACCATACCGCCGTCCATCTAAAATTAAAACCGTCTTAAAACCACCTACCTCGTTAAAAGTAAGCTAATAACCTCGGCGATCGCCCTTTCGGCCGCCTCCACCTTATCGAAGGTCACAAAGCCCCGACTGAAAGAATAACACAGTGAAAATGCGCCGAACCGGGCCCAAACACGGTACAAACTTTTTCTCAATCTCCATTGACACATTGATGATGTTCCCAAACGTCACAAAGTGCTTCTTCAAGAATTCTTCCGTGATCTTGTAACCGGACACGTAGATAGTGTTGCCTTGGCGCGGCTTCTCGGGCTTCTCGCGCGGTTTCTCCACTATTCCCCGTTCCTCCCGGTCTCTGACATTTGCGAAAGAATCATAGAGGTTCTTAATCCTCGGAGGCTTGTTTTCCGGGTTATCGGGCCCGTCTTCCATTTGTATCGCCGAGAACGGCTGGTAGCCGCTCACGGTTTTATCCGAGATGAGTTTCCGTTCGAGACCCCGCGGCCTCTTGAAGCCCTGCTCGGGCTGCTTTTGTTGCTTGGCTATTGCCGGGATGGCGCCCGATTTTAGCAGCTTTTTCGCCACCTCGCGGGCGTCTCTCGCTTCGGCCGGCCGCTTCGGGGCCACCGGCTTCTCCGGCTCGGGTTTCGGAGCCTTCAGGGCCTGTAGCGCCTTTTTCTAAAACCAAAAACGTTACTACGCGCAGTTTCCTCACGAAGCGCGTACCTTTTTCTTCAGCTTTTGATACTTTGCTTGCAACATTAACTCCTCCTCGGTAAAATTCGCGGGGAAATGTATATAAACCATAATAACTCGAGGCGCTAAGCGGTATATACAAATAACCCCTACATCACAGAATGCTACCATCGACAAGCGACGTAACCATAGAAATTGGTTTGGTGACTGTTCGCACCGTGCGACGTAAGCAACGCGGAGATCGACTCGCGCGCTTGACGTACGTGTCTCAAATTCTAATCGGAAAAATAAAACGCCGTGTATCGAAACAAACCCGTTTTTATTTAAACAAACGTCCACACCGACCAATCAGAAAAGCACCTACCGATAAGTTTAAGTTTGAAAAATTACGTCACAAATCGCGCGGGGGGTTGAAGTACTCCCAGTGGTGCATGTGGACCACCGTCTTGTCGTCGCCGTAGCCCAGCAGGATGAGGCCGGCGATCAGTACCAGCAGGATGACCATGCAGACGTGCAGGTCCTGCTGGCCATCGGCGTTGCTCAGCACGTTCTTCTTGACGTGAACGATCAGTCTTTTGATCGAGCTGTTGACGCAGGCGCTACAAGCGTGCGCCAGCTGCCCCGTCAGCTCGCCTATCGACTGAGTCGGAGGGGCTCTCCTGCTCCGCGGAGACGACGAAGACTCTTCCGAAGTCGACCTCGACCTGGAAAAAGTTGAAATTACGTCACTGAGTACCTCGAAACCGCCAGGTTTCGACCTGGAAACGGGCCTGGCTCTCAGGTGGTGGTGCCGCTTCCTCCTGGGTACCATCGGAATGTTGTCGGCCAGGTCGGCTACGAATTTCTGGGCGCGCAGCGCGTAAAAGCTCGCGGGCGGCTGCGACGGCAAGTACCGCCCCTCCAAAGGTTCTGGGGGTCTCGGAGGCGGCTCGTCGTCGACGTCGGGCTCTATCATTGACGACTCCTTGGAGCTTGTCCTGGTGCTCAACCTGGGCGGTCTCCTCGGTTCCTCCTCGTCGCGGTGCGACCTGGGGGGCGGCGCCGGCGCCTCCTCCCTTTCTAAATGCTCGATAGGTACTTCTCTGAGATCGGCGGGAGAGAGGGGAGAACCCTCCGGGCGCGGGTTAATCGGAGTTTTTTTTTCTTCCTCGCTCTGTCGCTCGAGCTTCATCAAACCCTTGACGATTTCCTTGACCAGCTCGGGGGACAGACCCATCTCCTCCAAACTGACGAAGCCGGGAGACGCCGGGCGGTGGAGTTCGCCGGTCCTCACGGTCTCGGCTTCGATTTCCGACACCACGATCTTGCCCGCTTGAAGCTCGCTCACCCTCAGCCGCTCTACGTCCAAGTCTGACACCTGGAGCGTTTTCGACGGCACCTGGGGGACTTCTCCGACGGGATCCTTGAAGGTTTTAAACTCGGCGGGCACTTCCGACACCTCGTCGTCGTCGGACTCGGCTCTGGTGACGGGCACCACGCGCACTTTGCCCGAGAGCTGGGAATCTGGTAATATCTTGGCCCCGTCAAGGGGTTCCACGAGGAGGGTGCCGTGGGTGACGGTCTCTTCGTACGAATACCGACTGGGTGTTATCAACTCCTTTTTCACCTGAAGGGTGGGTTCGACTATCCGGTCGGACTGCTGGATGGGCACTTCCTCGCACACAAAGTCGTCGGGCAGCGGGTCCGTCTGGGTCGACACCGACTCCTCCTCCGGCACCACGTTCTCTTTGGAGGTAATGTCCTGCGAAACGACGCTCGTAAAACGCGATGCGGACCAGAATAAACCTTCGGTTACCTTCAAGGTGTTTCGGAAACTCCTCGGCTTCCTCGGCGGCCTCGGCGGCGCGGGCAGCGGCCTCTCCCTCATCTTCCGCAGCACCTGGCCCGACTGCAGGTGCCTGTCGTCGTCGATCTCTACGTAGGGCCCGACGTCCACGTTCTCCTTGTTTTCGTTCTGGTATAAGTCTTCCTCCTTCCGAGAGGACTTTACCTGCACAAGGGTACTGTAGTTCCTCAAAGGTCTAACTGGAGGCTGCGCGTTGCCGACGTTCCTCGGCACAGTCGCGAACTTCCCTTCCGCGTGTCTCTTCCTCCTCCTGGTGGGCGACCTGGGAGGCGGCAACGGCTGTTCCAGCCGCCTCCCTTGTTTGTCGACCACCGCATAACCCATGTAGTCCCTAAAGTCCTGCACGCACGGCTCCTCGACGCACGCCTCCCCGAGGATGCTGCCCTCGTCCCTCGAGGAAGGCGGCAGCGAGATACGCGACGCGCTGCTCGCCAGCGACCTGGAGCGCCTCTCGGGTCGACGCGGAAGAGACTCTTCCAAGTCCTTCAAAGATTCGTCTCCGTATCTCCTCATGGTCTCCGCGATAAACTCGTCCTCGGACGCGGTCAAACTTTTCAGGCTCTTCTGCCTCCTGGGGGGTGCCTCCGGCTGGGACGTTTCCTCCTCTAGGTATCGGTACTCGCCGATCGTAATGTCCGGCTGTTCTCTCCCTTGCATCCGCTCGTTCTCGTACGCTAAGTCGTAGTCGGCTTCGTCGTCCCCCAGGATGCCCAGACTCTCCCTCGGAAAAGCCAACCTATGTGGAGAAATGCAAAAGAAGACGTCCGTTGGGAAGTTGTTGACTTACCTGGGGTTACTCGGGGAATCTACGTCCAGCGCTATCGTCTCCTGGTAGGGAACAACGACTTCTTCTGCCGTCGGTTTCGCGTTGGCCTTTTTCTTGCTGCGTCTCCTGGGTCTGGAGGGCGGCAATCCGGGGAGTTCCTCCATAGACTCGCCGGGTATCTCTTCGCGGGAGACGTGCGGCGTTTTCTTCCTTTTGGGTTTCTTCACCGGCTTCTTCTTGGCTTGGTCGGGTATGACGGGATCGTATTCGTTCATCTGGGCGAGGGCGTTGGCCGGGGTCCTCATGCCCTCGTGGACCTCGTGTACCACGAAGAACTCGTCCGAGTCGACGTCGATTTTGCCTACGTAGCATCCGCGATGGACGCTCGCCGACCCCTCCGACGAGTAGCCGTCTTTTGCCTGCTTGGCCTCGTCCTCCAGGTTGTCCAGGTCGGTGACGGGCTCCTCGGCCTTGAACCTCCCGTGTTGCCACCTGTTCAGGTGCTCTGCCATGTTGATTTCTTTGTTTTCGCGCCGGTAGTCGTCGTCGATGTCGATATCGGGCTCGTATCTCACTCGAGACGACTTGGCGCCGACATCTTCTTCGAGTTCCTCCGGGTCGAGCGAGTCTTCCGAATGGAGCGGGACCCTCACGCTGCCGCCCCCGGCACTCCACGAGTCATCGCGGCTCTCCTTTCGTTTCGGTAACGTGGCGAAATCCGACCCCTTCTCCTCTTTTTTCCTCCTCAAGAACTTGGGGAAGGTGCCGAAGCTGAACCGCTTCACCGAGTCACCCGCGTTGGACTCGGTGGACAGCTGCCTCGTGGGCACGCGACTCCTCGGGCGCGGCAACTTGAACGGCAGGTTAATCTTCACGGTGTCGGGGATCTTGGGCATCCTCGGCCTCTCGATCTTCCGGATCTCAGGCCGCTTGACGTTTTGGATTTTCGCGCGCAGCTGACCGGTCTTGCGTTTCAGCTGCTCCGTCTTCTGCCGCAGCGCCAGCTGGAACTTGCCGGGTGCGGGAGGCTGCGCCGGCGGCGCCTCCTCGGTGCCCTCGTCCACGTGCTCGTCGCTGTGGAAATGAAACAGCGGGGTGCGCTTCTCGTCGGCAGCGGGCTCGACGACGGTGTCCACGCTGAACACTACCCTCGCGTCGATCTCGGTATCGATTATCTTCACCGTCGGCAGGACGGCGCCGGGCGACGTCGCCTCGACGGGTGGGTTCACCGGCTCATACTCGTGGTCGCTGCAAGGGAACGCCGTTAAACGACCTTAAAACGACGTCGAAACGACGTTCAAAAATAAAATTTCGATGGTTTAAATGACGTTAGTTAAATGTCACGTAATATTGGGAGTAGTATTTTGTTTAAACCGTTGATGCTGCGAAAAGGTGTTATGAATGTTAGGGAAGTGACCAAGATCTGATCCAGGTAGCAGACTTTATTCTAAAAGACGTCATTAACTAGTCACCACACGACGAAAATGACGTTTTATATATGACGTCGCCACTAATGTCAATTAAGTGACGTCTTTTTTACGTCAATTTACGTCAACTTAAAGTCGGATTTTGGTCTTTACTATCGAAAAATATGACGATTTTTTAAATTGCTTTCTTCTTTTTGCAGTGGGGAAAATGGAAAGTAAATCAAACAGAAACTGCGGCATTAAATTATATAGAATACCTTTTGCAGTTGTTGAAAGTGAAGAATTATAGGTATGGTCTGTTCATAGATATAAGAAAGTGGCCAATTGCTTTTGAATGGGATTATCCAAAGGGGGTCATTAAAGTTTCGGAATTTAAATTCAGGTAAAATTGTGGTCCGTAATAGAAAATAATTTTATACCTACCTGTGTTTAATATTCTTTGGTTCTTTTAATACTACTTTGGTTCTTTTAATACTACTTTGGTTCTTTCAATACTACTTAGTTTAAGTTTATTAGTAATCATTCTTATTTCGTGTGTGTTGAATCGTGTGTGAATTATGCAAAATATGTGCGAGTCTAGTGTATCAAAGGGGATGCTCCCGCCCAAATGTAGAAAATGTAGGAAAAAAAGAAGCGATGTTGACATCTTCTCGAGTGTAGATGAAAGTGATCAACATATAATACGGCGTAAAATTTACTAGTTATACGAGGAACAAAGCGTGCCTACATTAGATATCTTAATTAGGAGGCTTGAGAAAGATGAAACGGGTATTAAATGTGGCAGAACTACCTTATGGAAGTGTATTCAACACAGGGGTTTTAGATTTTAAATAATCGACAAAAGGCAAGTTTTATTGGAATCTTTTAGAATTCGGAAATGGCGATTGGAATATCTAGAAAGAATTAGGATTTACAGAGAACAACAAAGGCCAATTATTTACGTCGATGAAACCTGGTTTGACACTTATGATACCCCGGAAAAAGGTTGGGTTGACTCAATTGATAAGTGTAAAACAAACGCGCCATCAAAAAGAGGTAAAAGAATAACTACCTATTTTGCATGCTGACTCTAAAGATGGTTGAATTCCAAAAGACACCACCGGCGATTTATTTGAATGTTGGTTTAAAAACAAACTAATTCCAAACATTCAACATTTTATAAAACGGCTACATGAAATGTCAATACACTATATGTTTTTAAAATCAGGAAAAAAAGGTCTACGAATTAAGCCAATAATAAACAGGGCAAGATAACAGAGCAAAAATGTGTTTACACTTTCTTTTATATCTTTCAAAATAAACCCTGTAGGTGGGCGTCGAAATATAATGAATAATCCTGCACAATCCCGTTTGCCTCTTTTTGTCTGTCGGGTTATCCAGAGGCCGATCAGTGGCGTACCGGACGTGGAATCCTCCCCCGAACTTGCTCGTCGGCCTGGTGCCCACCAGGCTCGCCCTGTCGGGCAGAAGGAGATCGCTCTGGTAGTACTGGCACGCGCAGCGGACGTCTAGGGACGCCGCCGACGATGCCGTCGAACTTTCCCGAGACATGTCCCTCCGAGTCGTTTTTCTGCGCGCCCCCTCCGAGTGGGACCGCCCCCCGACCGCGGACGACCTCATTTTCGCCCGGAGGGCGGTCCTAATTGCGACCACGCCCCCTCGTCACGGGGGTAGGACCTTGATGATGGAGGCGCGCGAAACGCGCCCGGAATCGAACGATACAGACGCGGAGATCGAAGAGCGGCCGTCCTATATGGACATCGACCGGGTACTGGGACTATTTCGAGCGATTCCACTATCGGCCGCAACGTTTCGGCTATTATTAACCTCGTCCGCGTTGCGTAAGCCGCGAGAGAGACGGAATTGGACGCACGGGCAATTCGTCGCTTCGACGGACTGTTTTCCTTCTTTTTTTTTCTAATTCTCTTCGAGCATTCGTTAAGCGTCGGCCATTAAAATTCCCCGATCGGCGATAAAAAACAATCGACCCGATATATATTTTTATTCGCGCTGGCACCGCGTCAACTAGTCGGCCTTTGGAGAAGTTCCCCGCCGAAAATAACGCGAGTGAAACAACGACGCACCTTTGCTTTGACCACTTGGTGTAGTCCTCCTCCAGCGAGGTGTCCTTGACAAGTTTCTGATCGAGGTACGACTTTTCTTCGTCGACGGACATCGATTGGCTCGAGTCGGGAACCCGGACTTCCTCGTACTCGCCGTCATCCTTGTTGGCCCTCGACTTCCTCTTGAACGACACCTTCTTCTTGAGCGCCGGCGACGCGTCCGACTTCAGACTCGACTTTAACTCGTTGAGGCCGTCCTCGACGTCGACCACGGGCACCTCCTCCACCTGGAACCCGACGCGTACGGTGCAACCCACGGGAAGGTTATTTTTCTTGACTCACCTTGGCGACGACGTCGTTGCTCGAGCCCCGGTCGCTCTCCTCGGCGACGGTCTCGAGTTTAGAGCCGTGCGCGATCTCGTCGACCGCGTTCTGCGCGAGCTTCTTCAGCGTGCCGAAGAACTTGATATCGTCCGACGACGGCGTCTCGGGTATCTCCGAGATCTTGTCGTCGAGGCCTTCGTCGTCGGATGGCGGCGTCAGAAAAATGAACTGCATCTCGGTGCCGGGCGGGCTGCTCGGCGAGCTCTCCGCCGTCTCCTGGGGCGCGTCCGAGGGCGTCGTCTCCGGCGGCCGCTCGAACTCCAGGTGCGAAAACTCGTCCGTTTCGCCTTCGGGAGGCTTGAGCGGTATGCGGATGTACACCGGGTCCGCCGCGGGTTTGGGAGGCTCGCGTTTTACGCTCTTTACGACCTTCTCTTCTTTTTTCGACGTCTTCTTCAGGGTCGACGTCGAGAAAGACTTTTTAATCTTTTCCGACGCTTCGCGCAACCTCTTCACGATGCCCAGCTTCGAGAGGCTCTTCCTGCTGTGCGCGCTCTCTATGGAGTTCCGGCGTTTCTTCTCCCCGGGCTCCTCGGACTTGGACCGCGTTTGTCTCGGCGCCTCGCTCCTGTTGGCCTCGAAGAGGCGGTCGAATGCGTCATTACTGGCGCCTTCCTCTTCCATAGACTCCTCTCTCTCTTCTTCCATCGGTTCCCCAGGTGGTTTTATCTCCTCCACCTCTTCCGGCGGTTTCAAGTCCACGGCTTCCTCAGGTGGTTTTACCTCCTCGAGTTTTTCGGATGGTTTTGCTTCCTCACCTTTTTCAGTTGGTTTTACCTCCTGTATTTCTTCTAATGGTTTTGCTTCCTTACTTTCTTCAGGTGGTTTTACTTCCTCGACTTCTTCAGATGGTTTTACTTCCTCACCTTCTTCGGGAGGTTTGATTTTCTCGACTTCTTCGGACGGTTTTGCTTCCTCACTTTCTTCAGGTCGTTTTTCCTCCTTGAATTCTTCGGATGGTTTTGCTTCCTCACTTTCTTCGGGTGGTTGTTCCCTCTCGATGTCTTCGTTTGCTACTTCGCTCGCGTTTCCTTCGTTATTTCGGTCGTTTTTCGCCGCCCGGAGCATGTGCTCCTCCTCCGTCACCCTGTCCACCTGGAACTTGGTTTCGCGCTGCGCCCGCTCCTCCCTCTGCTTCAGCTGCTTGAGGTCCTTCAGGAGCTGTTTAAAAGCTGGGTTTATCTTCAGCGGAGGTTTCGCTTTGTCGCCCGCCTCTTCGCCCGGGGGCGGCTTCAGCGGGATGTAAATATACTCCGGCTGCCCTTCCTCGCGTTCCGGAGGCGGCAGGCTCGGTTTTTTCTCTTTCGTCACGTCCGGCTTATTCCTCTTCTTCGTGAGTTTGACCTGGGGCAGCTTGATCTTCTCCCTGGCCTGTCGGAGCCGCTTCATCACGGCCAGTTTCGACAAACTAATCCTGCTGTAGCTGCTTTCGGCGGACAGCTTGCGTTTTCGCTTGCCGCCCTCTTCTGACTTGGCCCTTTGGACTCTGTCCTCGTCCTGGGGCGGATCGGCCGTCCTTTCTTCGCGGTCCAGGTACTGGCTGACGTCGTCGGAGCTCGCCGCCGACCCGAGTTCTTCGATCTCCAGGGAACCGTCTCGAGCTCGACGGGCGGGCCGGTCCTCCGGCTCGGTCACCTTCTCCGAGTGGGCGGGGGACTCGGCGGCCTCATCGGCGGAGACCTCGTGGATGTCGACGCCGTCCGATCGGCCCATCGTCGACGTCGACCTGGTGCGTCTGAATGCGTCCATGGTGAAGGGCTCGGGGTCGGGGAAGTCGTCGGCGACGACGCCCTTGTAGAGGTGCGTCCACGGGTAGCCGCCCCTTCGCCTCGCGCGTCTCACGTCCTCCCACCTGTAGGTCTCGATCGGTACCTTCGGCAGCTTTTTCCCTGCGGTTAAGAAAGGTTGAATAAAACGCTCGCGCGCGGACGCACGCCGCTGACCTTTCACGTCACGCCTCGTCTTGTTCCTAGAACGGTCCATAACAATAACAACGGCGATCGGCGCGAATTTCCATGTCGTTCGCGGGGGGAAAAGAAACGGAAAACTGTCCCCGAGGACCTGGGGGATATCGCGACGTCTTGGGGCCCCGCGCTTGACTGGCTGCCCGTGCCGAATCCGCACGGTGGCGGCGGATCTATTTTCGGCCAGCGTCTATTTTGGTACAGTGACGCGTCCCGCGGAATCCGACGTCGTCGCCGTCGGCGTCGGTCGCAACGTGTTGCATCTCCGTGAAAATATAGGATCGCGGGACAGTGGCGCGACCGCCATTTTCACGGGAAGGACGGGGGCTACTAAAGACGAACGCGCGTAGTAGAAGCATTACCTCACTTCACCATCCTCCATCATTTATCATTCATTTAGGTATGCATAAGGTTAGTGCAAGATGAGTTCCTAAAAACCTTTCGGCTATTCAAAAACAACGCCGTGTCGAGTGTGCGCGGTCTCTTTTGGAACTCTGTGGGTCGGAACCGAAGCCTGTGATAGAAACTACTGTGACGGGAGATGAAACTATGGTTCTCTATTATGATCCTCTATAGAAAAAAGAATCAATGGAGTGGCGTGGTCAGGGTGAAGCACCTTCAAGAAAATTCAGAGTCTGTCAGTCAACAAAAAAGGTGAAGGTCACGATCTTTTGGGATTGTGAAGGAATTCTTTTGATAGATTTTAAAGAAACTAATACCACTGTCAATGGTAAATATTACGCAACATTATTACATAAATTGCGACACTGCATACGTGTAAAACGTCTAGGAGAACTGACCAGAGGCGTGCGTCTTTTGCACGATAATGCAACTGTCCATACTGCTGGTGTTGCACAAGCTGCCATTTTAGAGTGTGGGTTCCAACAAATAGATCATAATCCCTATTTTTTTTTGTTAATAAAGAGATGTAATAACTGTATTGAAGTTACGGGGGATTATATTGAAAAATAATAAAAAATTGTTACTCTACTTTGTTTCTTTCATATTTTGGCCGGGAAATTTTGCCGCTGCCCTCGTAATTACTTAGCTCGGTGCTGGCAATTTTGTTCGAATTTCAGAGATTTCTATTTATTTAAATAATTTAACATGTTTAATATTTTTTGTTTGTTCTAAAATAACTGTTAAATGTTCTTTGTTTATTTTTAACTAAAATAGAAATACGAAATATGTTCTGAATAATTTTCTAATTTTTACTTTTATTTTCTTCTTTATTAAAATGAAAATGTTTTTTATTAAAAATTATTATTTTTTTTTTTAATTTCATTTTTTGCAAAATTTAGATTCGTAGCTCCCTGCGATAGTTTAAAAGTATTTAGATTTTTTCGATACGGCCCTGTTATCTTCTCCGCTGTCCTTGTAATAAAATAACTAAATTGATCTGGAATATTGAAAACTAATTTTACACGTCGTGGTCGCGAAGGATATCCATTTTTTCTCTATTTTCTCGTTGGACAGACATAGGTTATAAAAATATCCTGCTTTTCATGTTTTTTGCTAACCCAAATTAATTGATATAAGAAAAATGAAGCACATTTTCTTCATTTGGTGACTATAGTGGGATCAATTATCGAAAAATTAATTTTTTTTTTGAACCCGATGCAGCCAAAATTCAAACATCTAAAACGGACATGAACTAGGCAAAATATTATCAGGTCCGTATTTAGTTTTACTATTATTATTGTTATTATTATAAAAGTTTGTGAAGGAATGTCGATTTTCCATTATTATTAATAAAATACATGGAGTTTCCAAAGAAGTCCTTTTTTTTTAATAAAAGAACACACTGGGCGTCACTACTTGCACCAAACACATCTATTTCTCCAGTAAAAATTCTGAGATTCGTCTAATGTTGGTTTTACGTGTTGGTTACTTATACAACGGAACCCGGCTCAAAATTATTTTCCCGGCGCATCCGCCGAAAATAAGAATCGTGGGATGAGAACTACAGCGGCTGTTCGGAAATATTGTTGCACTAATTTTCCAAATAATTAGTTGGGTGGTTATATATCCGAGTCAGGTTGTAACGGGGTTAAAAAAAGCATAGGACATTACCAACATTCTAAATAATAACATTTTTGAACTTTCACAGAAAGCATCCAAAACGGGCATAAATGAGGCAAAATATTATCAGGTTCATATTTAAAATCAATATTATTATTATGTGGGTTTTTTTAATTATTTTTAATAAAATACGTCGTTTGGAACACATCTACTTTTCCCGTATTCGTCTAACGCTTGTTTTACGTGCCTACCCATACAACAGAACCCGCCTTAAAATTATTTCCCGGCGCATCCGCCGAAACTAGAAATCGTCAACTACTCATCGCTTTTACGTCCAAATCCACAGGGGGTGTTCAAAATATTATAGCACTAATAAAAAAAACGCCTTCGTTTCCGTACGGATTTAATGAAATAACAATATCAGGTGGAGCGGCGCTCGGCCGCTTCCGGCGGCACCACCTCCAGCAGCACCTGCACCAGGAACGTGAGACGATCTGCAAAAGAAAAACGCGCGGTGACGGCGTCGGCGACGTCGCGACACTCACTCATGAGCCTGTCGGGGCGTCGCCTCTTGTAAATGCACCAGTAGTAGACCGGGACGCCTAGCGACGTGAAGCCCAACGCGAAGAGGTACATCGGGTCGGGGTCGGTGACTATCGGCGTGACGCTGAGGTACAGGGCGACCAAAAAAATAAACACCGGTATCCACACGGGCACCTTGTACGGTCTGGGCACGTCCTTCATGGTGCGCCTGAGCACCAGCAGCGAGAGCATCGCGGTACCGTAGGCGAGCCATATGAGGAAGCTCGCGAACTCGATGAGCTGCACGATGTCGCCGGCGACGATGAACAGGAACGCTACCAGGCCCTGGTAGATGACGGCCGGAGCGGGCGTGAGACGCTGCCGGTGCACGTAGGAGAAGCTCTCCAGCATAAACCCGTCCTGACCGGCGACGTAACACAACCTGGTGACGCCGAACTGGACGCTGAGGGCGCAGCCGAAGGTACTGAGGGCGACTCCCAGCGGCACGACGAAAGCCACAGGTCCGAGGACCTTCTCGCCGAAGGCGACGGCCACCGCGTTCGCGCTCACCATCTCAGGGACCGACAGCACCGTCATGTAGGCGATATTCATGAAGACGTAGAGGACGGTGACGATCGGCACGCTTATCTCGATGCTGCGCGGGATATTGCTGTGCAGACAGCGTCAAAACGAAAAAAAAAAAAACACGAAAAACGACCGTACTCACACTTCCGGTCGTTTGACCTCCTCGGTGACGACGGTTACCGCGGACCAGCCGTCGTACGCCCACAGGCCGCTGTAGAACGCGAGAGCGAGGCTCTTCGGCGACGAGCTCGTGCCCTCGAAGCCCCTAGCGAGGTTTGCGGTGTTGCCGGCGCACAGCTCGTACAAGCCGCCGAAGATGACGACGAGACATGCGACGACCTTGAATGAGCCGAACACGTTCTGCACCGTGACGTAGAGTTTGACGCTCGCGACGTTTATGTACGTGATGGTGGCTGAAACCCACGGGGAGATGTAGAGGTTATATTCCGGGTATGGTCTGTTCATGGATATAAGAAAGTGACCGATTGCTTTTGAATGGGATTATCCAAGGGTGGTCATTAACATACAATGCAACAAGATTATTGCCTAAAGTTTCGGAATTTAAATTAAAAGCAAAGTACCGACCTGTTCGGCCATATTTCATTCTTACAGCTTGCCCGGGTCTGTCCTTAATTCAGTTAGTCACTTTCTTATATCTATGAACAGACTTTACATGATTTTTTTCAATACAGCAATGGTTTTGGTACGTCGTAATAGTAAATGACGTCATCGCGTTTAGATTGATGGCGTGAAATGGTGATTTTCGTTTGGATTTTTTCAAATATCTCGAACACCGGATGTGATAGACGAAAACCGTAAATACAAAAATTGTAACTGTTTTTAGGAATTTTGATTTACGGCTAAAAGAACAATTTTCAGGACGTTCCAGATTTCTGTCTATAATTGAAAAACCCTGTATGTATGCTTGAAATAGAAATTTTAGTAGCGAATCATCCACGTCTCCTGGTAGAATAATTTTGCCGATCAATTTAATACTTTTCCAGAAATTTGTTTTTTCTGGAAGAAAAAAAATCAAAAATTAAAAAAACCGGACAAGTCTTGATCGCTCTCAGTTCCTACGGTTTAGACGTGGGTGTGGACTTTCACTTCTCCGCTAAATTTGAAGTCGATAGTCACAAATTTGAGACATCTATTACATTTTTGAATACGGTACAGAATATCCCGAACACCCGTAACAATATGTGAATATCGAAAATACAAAGTTTTAGCAATCTATATGGTCGCGTGAAAGAAAATGGCAGCTGTAACACAGCCTTCTAGTTACGGTCAACGGGGAACCCAGTTTTCAGTTTTTTGCAATTTGCCGGCGCACCCTGTACATTTTTAAAAAATCATCAGGAATAAATTATTTTGGTACGGATCTCACGCGTCTTCTGGTTAAAGATTTTTTTCGATCATCTATACCGTTTTTGAGAAATGATTTTTTCTCGATACCTTGCGAACCCGGTTTTGAAATTTTTAAAAATACTTCCCGGCCTCCCAGCCCCCCAATTTCAGTGGGTTCCGTTAGGGGACTAAACTCTATATTTTTGGCAATTTTGAAATCGATAGCTGCAAATCTCGGATACTTATCTGGGCAAGTTCGTAGCGCTTAGCGCGAAGCAGCTTTTTATTTAAAAAAAAAAAGGCGCTTCGCGGTTTCTTGCCCTAGAGAGATGCAATTGTTTTTCTATCGTGCTCCTCCGGACAACTATGAAACTTCCGCAAAATCGATGTAATTTTAGTATGCATACACCCTGTATGAAGCACCTTTTTACTTCTCGCCGGACTTCAAAGTCACGGCAAACTTTGATAAATGTAATAATTTGTACAAATAATAGCGCACCCTGTATGATAGACGAAACCTGGAACTCTTTCGATAAAGTTTACGATACTATTCAAACCAAATGTCATTTTTTTATAGTTTTTCATTAACGGTTTACCCACGAAAACGGCAATTTTCAGGATCTTTTTCATTTTTTGTTCATAATCGACACACCCTGTACATAATTGAAAAAATGCCGGAAATGGAGGTTTTAGCCCTGGATCTCAAACGTTTCCTGGTCCAACAATTTTTTCAATGGAGTAAATGGTTTTCCAGAAAATAATTTCTTTCTGAATCAGCGATTTTCATATGAATTGTTTCAAATATCTCGAGCAGCCTGTGTGATAGACAAAAACCGTAAATACAAAAATTGTTACTCTTGATGCGGTCTATAACCCTGTTTGAACCGATCGGCCATATTTCTTACGAATTTTGGTTTGCGGTTAACAATTTATTCCCAATTTTCAGTTTTTTGCAAATTACCGACGCACCCTGTACATTTTTAAAACATAATCAGGAATAAAGGTTTTTGGTCCGGATGTTACGCGTCATTTGATTAAAGAATTTTTTCGACCGTGTATACCATCTTGGAGAAATGAATTTTTTCTCGGTACCCTGCAAGTGCGGTTTTTAATTTTTTAAAAATATTTCTCGGACACCCCCCCCCCTCCCAAAGTTTCAATAGGCTTCGTTACGGAACTAAACTCTATATATGTCTTAAATTTCGAGTGGATGGCTTCAAATTTCGGATATAAGCGCGTATACTTTCGAAAAATTCGATTTCATCGATTTTTCGAAAGTAACAAGTGTTGCAAAAAAAAAACAACACAAAACTGCCGTTAGCCGTTTGCTTTAAAAAATATTAAAATGACTTTTTTTAAAATAGCACAACCAACCTAGAGCGACGACGGCGACGATTTTGACGACTTGGCCGACGTCGCGGCGGTCCTCGACGCAGAGGACGTCCAGCACCGGCTGGCACAGGTACTCGCTGAAGGTGAGCACGATGACGGCCACTTCGGCCGGCCTGATGATGACCACCATGAGCCACGAGTAGAGAAAGGCGGGCAGCCTGCCCCAGAAAGGGTGCAGGGGCCCGAAGGAATCCATGAAGTAGGCGTATTCGGCTCCCGACCTGGGGATCACGGTGCCTAGCTCGGCGAACGCGAGGGCCCCCAGGAGGGACACCAGGCCGCACACCGTCCACACTACGATCGCCATACCAACCGAGCCCGAGTACTTCAGGGCGGAGGCGGGCGAAACGAAGATCCCGGAACCTATCATGACGGCGAGGATCATGTTGATCGCTGAGAAGAGGCCCAACTCCCGCTTGAGCCGCACCGGGCCCTTCGACGGGGTCGGTTCATGCTGGTCGTCTATGCGAATGAGACTCCATTGTCGCCAAGTTATATAGTATATACTCGGACCAAAAATATAGTGCTTTTACAACCGATCCTGTGAATAACTTTCCCCACCCTTACCCGTAACCATTCCAGGACCGTCCTAGGAATTTATCTACCTACACTACATACATATGTTTTTTTACCCATCGCTGTATTCACCATATAACCTCAAAATATTTGAAGCCTACTGTTTATTATTCCAAAACCGCAGACCCTTATAGAATAACCATTCCAGGACCGCCCTAGGAATTTATCTACCCACAGTAACAAGCGGGATATAAGTATGTTTTCAATCTTTTTCGCCGAGCAGTTCTTTAAACGTGAACATAAAAAAAATTAGTACGAAGTAACAGGTTATAACGTTCCATTTCATTACATTTCTGCATAGTATCATTATTATTATACAAAATATTAAATATAATAATAATAAAGTAGCAGTCACTTAAAAAATCGTCACTATCGCTACTGTCGTCACCTAGTTCAATGATCAAATCCGCCACTAATCGTTCTCGATAAATATTTTTTTCCTTTTTCACAGTTTGTACTAATAAATGAACCCGTCTTTTGATTTGCTGATGTTAAAATAAATGTTAAAATAAAAATTTCTTGTTTCTACAAATATTCGTTACGGCCCATCTCAGGCAAGACCTACTTAATGCAGAGTGAACATCTGTTGGGATGGGTTTTACCACGCTCCTGAGAAAGGTCTGCTGTTAAGGCACTGTAAAATACTTAAAACGACAAAGCAATAAATGCACTATATTTTTGGTCGTATTATAACGACAAACACTTGCTTATTTTCTATTTATTATTCATTAAAATTCGTTAATTGATGATGTTGCCCGACCAGAAGAGGGCAGAGGACCGTTAAAACCAGCCAAAGCCGGGTTTAAGCGAGTTTAATAATGGGCTAGATAACGCGTCGTCTACGATTCGGAGGGGCTGCGCTCGCCGTAGCGAAACGCGGCTCGTTTTTAATGAAACTTTCACGTCGCGCTGTTCGTCGGTCCGTGGCGCACTTTCACTGACCAGAAAAAATGACTTACCGTTCATTGCGTGCGCGCCCCGCGTCAACCCTCGATTCCAGAGCCGCCTCTTCCGTGCATGTGCGTTTTTTCTCGGTGTCGCGTCGGCGGCGGTCGCGACTTAAATCGACCGTTTCCTTCGCGAGGCGCCGGATTGATTAATTCGTGGGTGATTAGGTACGCTCGCACGACGCGCACGTTTCGCTCTACGCCGCGATATCTTTTCCTTAATCGTATTTGATCTGCCTATCAAACCGTAGATTAAGGTTACGGGGGCGCCTCGTAAAGTTTGCCGTTTCTTCGGGACGTTTTTACGCCGAGTGCGATTTTTTTAGAAGACAACGAGCCCCCAAGAGCGAGACAATTTTTCCGCCAACGCTACGTATTTTGCGCGGAACTAGGTTATACGCGTAGCGCTTGTTTGCCTACGCTGCAGAATCGACTTAAACGTTTACTTTTCCGCCGTATAACGACCCCAGTTAAGCAATTAGCGTATTTATTGACCGATTAATTATTGTTGTTTCGGTTATCGCGTTATCTGCGCCGCACAAACTCTAATTTTATTGTTCTTTAGTACCGCCAAGTCGTTGGCAACTTCCATAAACCCGGCAACGCCGCTCAAGGCGGTCGTCTTTTCCACGGTCCACCGCGGGCTCATTTGTCCCGACCGACTTCGCCGTTCTTCGATTTAAAGCAATCTGGTTTCGTTCATTAAGTAAATAATCGACCCGAAAGATAAACCAATTAGCGAACAAAAGCGGCAATTTGCCGAAGGTCCCGGCGACTCGTCTGCCGCCGTAATTGTCCAATTTAAAGCAATTTAAATTCGGCAGCGCGCGCGGTTGCCGCCATCTATCGGCGACCGCGTCAATTTCCGGACTCAGTCACAGACCGTCGCGCGTCTCGGCTAAGTCGAAATTAAAAACATCCTGGTGTCCTAAGTTCCGCATGATGATTAAGATTAAGTTACCCAAAGCCAGGGAATAGATTGTAGCAGTTGATTGTAGAAGAATATATGGGTTTTGTTAATATTATAAGGCATATAATATATTGCCAAGGATTTTTCAATGACCCATGTGACCTTGTTACAAGTGCAAAATCAACTTTTATGTGTACATTTTTGATTTTTTTGTAGCGACTGTGTACAGTATCCGAAATAGCAAATAAAGTTTAGACTACTTAATACCGTGGCCAACTTAGATGCCTTCATGTAAGATCAGCCTCGTGTTATACTTATTGGATGCTAGGTAGGACGATTCAACCAAAACTTTATAGAGTTCGAGGTCAGGTTAGCATTGGGCCTGCTTTTGCAGCAACATGTCAAGGAATGTTCAACGGACAATCATTTTTATATAACTTCTCGACAGGTAGTCGAGAAGTTATATAAAAGGTATGTACCTGGTGGCCCATTAATCAGCCATATCTCAGTTAGTCCGACTACTTAGAAAAAAAAAATACTTATAGGTAAATCGGCCAAGAGAAAAAGTTGTAAATTATTTTCAAGTTCACAAAAATACCGCTAGGGGGCGTCACACCTACCGTAAAATAGAAAAAAATTGTTTTTCTCAAAAATATTCCAAATTAACCTATATCAAAATTAGTTTTAACGTAATTTACTCCCGACAAAGAACCTTTTCGTTTGAACTATTTTTTTCTATCTCGTCAAATTAAGGGAAGGGAGGGGTCAAATATTGGTTTAGAAAAAATTGAATAAAATGATGAATGATGATCATGAAATGAATTAAAAAATTCTGGGGCCTATTCTGTTCTCAGTTTATACGGCTGACTTCTCTACTTTTCTTAAATTTTGTAAATCTCATCAATACGCCGATGATACTCGGTTATATTTATCATTTGTTGCTAGTAAAGCTTTAAATGCCGCTACTAAAATACATTTAAATAAATAATTGCGGAGATCTCTACGGCTCACAAACGAGTTATCGATTTAAAACAAGAGTAACAATTTTTGAGGATTTGTGATTCTGCTTAAGGCAATCTGTTCTATTTCGCAATATCAGTCTAAAGAAATAAAATACAGGAAAAATTTTAAAAAATGTTCCGGGTAAAGTGCCCTCTAGCGACAGATTTCTTAAACACGTTTATTTTGTGGCGTAAAATACGTAAAAATCTTAAATGCTGTTGTAATCCTTTGGAATTTTGGACTTCGCAGTGCCAACTGGTAAAAAAAAAAAACTCGGTCGAAGTGTAAAAAATTAAAATTTATTGAACGTGTATTAAAATAAATTATTCCGAAGAACCGTAGCTGCCGTCTTCCTGGAAGACGTCGCCTTCGGGACACCGCGAGCCGTTGGAGGCGGCGACGCCCGCCTCCGCGTACACCACCAGCCAGTGCGTCAGCGGGTGGGGGGCGTCTGAGTACATCTGCGCGACGACGCAGTCGGTACAGAAATCGACGGAATCGGCGCACGTCGCGCAGTGCCACCTGGCGCCCACTATCGGCTCCTCGTCGCAGTAGTCGCACTGAGGACGGTCGGTAAAACAGATGCCCGTAATTTTCCAGATGGTAGCAAAGTGTCGAATGTTTAGGTTAGAACCAGCGATTTATATAGTTAAAGATATTAAGTTAACATTTTATTACTTTTTTAAAGAGGAATTCAGTTAATTTTACATCGTAAATTTAGGTACGTAGGTTAGAATGTACAACAGAAACAAAACCCCTCAACTTTTCCAAAATGTGAAATGAAATTTTAATATTTTATGGTAGCTCAAAAAGTGCAAAAAATGTGCCATTTTATAGGCTTATTTAATCCTTTGTAGGTTAATAAGTAAAATATGTATATTTAAGTTATTGCAAAAAGATATCTCAGATGTACAGAAACAAAATGTCACGCATCAGGAAAGGTATTGAGGAGAATGATTTTAAGGAAAGGACAACACAATCAATCAGGACTAAATACAAGACAGGAGCTTTAAACGTTGCAAGCATGTCTAAGGGAGAAAGGAGGCCGAAAGGATATATATATAAAAGGTGGCTTACTAGTTTCCGTCAACTCAGGATCTGCGTCTATGCAGAGGTGATCGAACATAAAGTCTGTTCATAGATATAAGAAAGTGACTAACTGATACGAATTAAGGAAAGACCCGGGTATTTTACAGACGGGAGTACAAAAATATTTTTTTGGATTCGGATTTTGCGATACTTTGAACATTCGACACTTTACAGCAGGACGTTCTTGAAGCGCTCACCCTGAATCCCGCGTGGCTTTGGGGCGCGTAATCGTCGCCGTTTTCCTTCTCCTTCTCCAGCCTGATCCTGCGCAGCAGTTCCAGCTGGAGCTCGACGTGGTCCTTGGACGACGTCGCCTGCGGCGACGCCCGCGCGTACTCCGACGGCAGCAGGTAATTTTCGCACGCCGTGTCGTCGGTCCCCGGGGTCCCGGACGTCGAACAACTGGGTCCCGGGGCGTCGTTTAAGGGGTCCATTTGTACGGGCACGCACAGGTCCGGGAAAAACGTGGAGGGTTTCCACAAGTAGTGGTTGTGCCGCTGGTGCTTGTGCAATGCGGATTTCTGCAACGCGACGCACACAATACCGCATGGGCGAGCCAAATGTCACACGAACATAACCTCAAAACCCACGTGGTCCATACAAAACTCTCTGCTTGCTCAATAGATTTGTATTTATAAACCTCTCTTTTGATAAATTATTACGAAACTTAAAATGTACACAATTTTTAGGTCTTTATATCAGTAGTACTTTGAGAAATTTTAAGACGAAAAATTCATATAGACATAGATCCAAAAATGCATATATTATATATATATATATATATATATATATATATATATATATATATATATATATATATATATATATATATATATATATATATATATATATATATATATATATATATATATATATATATATATATATATATATATATATATATATATATATATATATATATATATATATATATGATGATACTATATTCCGGGATATCATCCGTTCGCTCGTTGAACTCCGACTGGAATCCTGCATCCGACTGGAATCCTGCAGACGTTTCGCCAAAATCTCACTTGGCATCTTCAATGCTCGCGCTCCGAAAACACTTCGAACACTGGGGAGCGAGCGTTGAAGATGCCAAGTGAGATTTTGGCGAAACGTCTGCAGGATTCTAGTCGGAGTTCAACAAGCGAACGGATGATATCCCGGAATATAGTGTCATCACATTTTTCCATCCGTGAATCAATACGTGAAAAAAAAATATATATATATATATATATATATATATATATATATATATATATATATATATATATATATATATATATATATATATATATATATATATATTCTGTTGTTGTTGTTTAGAGGTCTGAAATAAATTGTTATTAAAAAAAAGTAAAGTACAAATGTTGATGTGACTTTACAAATAATCCATAATCAGAATATTTGAAATTAGCGGTCCGTATGGTTTGCTTTATACCATCATTATCAAATGTACAGGGGGTTAACGGAAGTCACCATGTAAAACGTTTAGTACGAAAGTTGTATAATTTTTGCAATATTATCTTTTACGCTTGTAGAAGAAAAGAAACGCGCACCGCAAACTTGGGTAACTGTAGGAAGTTTTTTATTTTTCAAGGGAACACGCTAAATATTTTCTGTTTGATCGTTGATATACGCAATAAAAAAATTCTTCTATGCAATAAAAAGAACTATTTACAAAGTAATTTTGATTTTTTTTTAAATTCTTTGAGTGCGTGGGAATGGAAAGATCTCTTCTGCTAGACATCGACTACTGACTTGGCCGTTTTGTTGGTTGTTTTTTCTAAAAAAAATAGTTTTTCGTTTTATAACTTTTATGTCACTTTCGATATGTTTATCAAATTTGGTGTAATTATTGAGGGCGATTTTCGACACAAAAGCTTTAATTTTATTTTTACCAGTGGCGTCCGTACGGGGTTTGGACTGAATGTTTTTAAAGAAAAAAATGGCACGCCACTGCTTTTTCTGAAAACAAAACTAATTTTCAAAATCACAAATTCAATTTGGAGGAAATTTGGTGCACGAACTTGCTTTCGTACGACACACGGTTTTCTCTTAAAAAAAGAAATACATACAAAAAATTAACTACTAACAGGAAGCCGTTTATTATTAAATAATATAAAATAAAATAAAATTTAAAAATAAATATAAAAAATTTTATATCTCGGTAACGGTAGGTCCTACGGGATCGCCGTTGGTACAGAAATGATCACCGTCGAAAAAAAATATTTTTTTTGCCTGTTTGTCCGTTCTCCGTTCTCGTCTTTTGGTTTTTCCTGAATAACTTTCGAACCGTTGGAGCTACAAAATTGAAATTTGACTCCTTTTTAATCCTCCACGAGGCACATAAGCTTATAAGAAATAGCCCTGACCCGACGCGGACATCCATTCTTTTTTCGCGATTTTCGACTGTTTTTTGGACCTTGCTACGAAACACGATGTGTCTGAAATTTGAAGCCATCGACTTCATATTTGGCACATAAATGCAGCTTTACCCCGTGACGCAACCTATTGAAAATGGGGGGCTGGGGGATCGGGAAGTATTTTTAAAAAAATAAAAATCACGTGTGCAAGGGCCTATAAAAGGACCATGTTTCAAAAACCGTTTACAAGACAGAAAAAATTCTTGAACCAGAAGACGCAGATGCGGTGACGTCATTTACAATTACCACGTACTGCATGGTTTCAGAAAACAAGTAGTTTTTTGAAAACCATTTACTTCATTGGAAAAATTCGGATACCAGGAAACTAAGGAGGTCCAAGGCTATATCTTCTATTTGGAACATTGTTGCAATTATCGTTTGTGGGCAAAAAATGAATGAATGAATTAATTAATTATTGGCGATACATGAAAAACTGTTAAAGATGTGATAATATGATATGAACAGTATCGTAAACTGTGTCGAGAGAGAGTTTAAGGTTTCGTCTATAATACAGGGGTCGCGAGATATTTGAAGAAATATAATTTTAAATTGCAATTACCAGTACAAATTTTAATATTTACCGAAGTTCGACGAGATGTGAAGGACACTTTATACAGGGTGTATTTACAAACTACATCGATTTTGCGAAAGTTCCATAGTGGTCCGATAGAAAAACAACGCGTCCCTCTAGGACAAGAATCCGCGAAGCGCCTTCTTTTTAAAATAAAAAGCCTACTAAGACATATATTTAAAAGAAGACAAGGTTTTATCGTGATACTGGAGCTGCATCTATGTCAGGCCGGGAAATTTTGGCGCTAACCTCGTTCATGTCAAGGGCTTGATTTTTGAGAAAAAAAATGTTAAATCTACATGACCATATCAACATCGGCATCTTTTTAAGTCAAATGCAGTGCCTACTCACTTTTTGTTACAACTTTCTTATTTTATAAGGCCACAAAAATCCCCAATCCGTATTAAATACGTCATCTAGATTTTTAAATATGTATGTTTTATTCGTAGCGCCTTTTTGAGCCACCCTATATACTTTAAAATAATTTTAGGCAATTAATTTCTGTACAATTTATAAATAATAGAGTGAATACAGTCAGTTATTAACACTAGTCAGACGCTCTGATGTTCCAAGGCACATAACGACCGAGATCTTTAGCTAGTATTGGTCACTCAACAAAAAAGTTAATGACTTTAGATCTGATTTATAAAACTAAATGTTTTTCTGCATACTTTTTGAATTAGCGCACTGTTATTGCTTGTGTTACTTTTACACCTTTCTTCCAACGTTTCTTATCACCACTAATTCTATGCATGGCAATATTATCATTAAACATTTTTTTGTTTTGAAAAATGTGTTGTGTTGTTTTTTTGGCACCCCACGATGTTAGTAGCTGCACTGAATGGCCACTTTTTTATGTATACTTTTTTATGTATTGGCTTCAATAAGAAAATATTATTAGTATTTTAAGTTCCTGTATCATTCCCATAAGCAGGCGCTCCATATCTCTAGTAGCTATTCGGATTTATGCCTCTAAATGCATATTTCTGAAAGTAAAAAAGGCAGGCCACCGATTTCTTTAAAAATAAATATTTTCGAAGCTCTCATTCAATTTGTTATATTGGTTAAAATTGCTCAGAATTCCAGAGAATTTCGGGGGCACGTCAAAACCTTAAAACATCGCATAAAAATAATCAAAGAAACAATCAAAACAGTGATCCGAATGACCCAACTAGCAAAATAGCAAATATCAAAAATGTAATTTTTCACGAAACACTAGACACAAATTATTAAAAAATGGTTTGTTTGGCGCAAACAAATATCCACTGCATTTGCTAAGACGTGGTTTTTGAACTATCCCACACAAGTTAGTTTGTATCGGAATCAATCTAAAAAGACAATGTATAGGGTTGTCCTTAATGACTGCGCCAAACATCAATAGATTAAGAGTGTTGAAGTTTATTTCTCGAAATTTCGATTCGATCGATTTTCTAGTGAAAAACAAAGAACTTCTATGCATAAAAGGAATTACAGCGTCTGCCCCTAGCTCGAAAACTCACTCCTCGGAGTGATCTTGCAACGTACCTTGTATTTTTCGCCTGATTTGGGGATACGGCCGGGTATGGGCAGCCCGGCCTTGAACAGCTTCACGAAGTACTTTTGCACACGGCTGCTGACCTGGTGGACGGTCCTGTTTCCGAGCGCCTTGGCGATTTTCTGGAAGCGTCTCATTTCGATCGGTTCGGGCGGATAGACGTGGAGCAGCTCCTCGAGGCGTTTCTGCTCCTCGGGAGTCCACACGTTGTTGTTCGCGACGTTCTGCGGCTTCACGTCTAGCTTGTCGTCGGCGTCCACCTGCGGGTCCGAGTAGATCTCTTTCAGCTCGTGCTGAGGCACCGCGACGTCGTACTTTTGGAAATCGATGGCCGGCAGTTTCGGCAAATGGTGCATCGGCGGCAGCCCCAGGTTCCCGTCTTTGCGCACTCTCTCCAAGGTCTCGAGCGGGTCCCTCAACGCTTCCGCTTTCAACTCGGCCACCCTCTTGTAGTCCTAAAACGCGACGTTCGTTACGCGGAGAAACTGGAGCTGATCGCGGGGGGCAACCTTGAGGGCTTGCTCGCGCTGCGCGGTGAGCACGACGAGCGTCTTCAGCACTTCCGAGTAGTCTTTGTTGCCCTTGAGCGCCAAATGGTCGGTCTCGAAGCTGAACAGGTCGTCTTCGATGCGCAACCCGAAATCGTCGGAGGCCATCGCTGAACGCGACTCAGTAACGGCGTACCCCATCCATAAGCCGGTTCGGCGACGAATTTAACCCTAAAGTTAGGCGCTTTGTTTTTGAGGTTAGGGCGACGGGTCACCAGGTTCAATCGTACGCGTACAACTCGATCGATATCGTCTGCGTGGTTTTTAAATTTCGAGACCGGGCGAAACGACTCGCAAACCCGATACAATTCGTGATTAGCATTCTCAAATAATCTAAACAAATATCGCGAAAGCGGGTCCCCGCGCGCGTGGCGCCCTCTACCGGGCGTCCTCTCAAGTCGTAGTCGAGCGCTGCGCCGCGAGATGGCTCTGCGTCGCGACACTTTAAATCCGATTGTTTCGAAAAAAACGCCGCCGTCGACGCTGCCAAGACACTCGCTCGCCAAATCGGCGTTAAAAATAGCGTTTTTCCGCGACCTTACAAAATGCGGGGCCCGCGATCGAGCCGGCGGAAGTTTTGCCGCGGCCGGACGACGCTAGGAGGCGCGCGCGCGCGCCCAGTTCCGCTGGCGTAAACATGGCGGATGGTCCGCGTTAATTCGAAGAACCAAAATAAAAACAAAGCGTACTTCGAGCGCGAAAAAATCACGAGATTCAACGGGGAAACGCGGCCCGATGCGTCGATAACGCGACGGTAAATAAGCGAGCGCGCGTCGCCCCCGCCGGGGGCCCCGGTCCCGTCGTTTGCCCGTATGTGTGTGTGTGTGTGTGTGTGTGTGCACCGCTCCGGAATTATTTTTCGATAGGTCTGGTCCCCCGTAACGTTGCGAATTTCGTCGCAGCTCGCGTCCGAATTGCCTCTGACCTTTCTCTATTTTAGCTCTTAGGTTAATTATCGTAAGACGTGAGCGGAAATTGTAGGTTAAGCGTTTTACGTCGTATGGCTTTTTGTTTATTTTCTAAGGTAGTTTGCGGTTAGGTTTGCGGTTTTAGGTTCAAATGGGGCGGGCGACGCCGCGCTGCGAGACCTTTACGGTAAGTGTCTTGTTTTCTTTCGCTTTTACGCACGTCTTAACCTAGTGTTCTCGGCTACCGCGGTCCCCGGGCCGATACGTTGCAGTTATTTTTAATGTCGTTTTGGCGGCGCCGCGTCCAGGGGGCGCCACAATGCCGATTGAAGAAAACCCGCATTGAAGGTTTTTTTTTTAATCCGCCGTTGGCATTCAAACCACGTTTATGCGAAAGCTTTCAAAAACTGTTAGCCAAACTTCCTCCTTATTATGATTACTATAAAATAGAAATGAAAAAACACATCAAGCAGCTGTAGTGCAATGCCAACACTTTTAAACTAAAGAACCAAACTGGAATGCAGGAAAATCTATTTAATGAATAAATCGCTTTTTTTTTAAATAAAACAATTGAAATAAGGTCTGCACAATACCCTGGGTGATTGAAAATATTTGCGAAGTTTAGCAAACAGATAACACTCCCTAACAATCCGATAAATATTTTTCAGTATTTCGCCAAGGTATATTAACCTCTATTCGCTCTATAAGCTATCCGTGATAAATCTCAATCAACCGTCACCGCATTTGGTGAATACGTCTTTGCAACTACTTTTTTTTTTTTGCTAACCACACGCGCAGCTCGCCAAAACGAACTGTGCATATAGGTGGCCCTGTTGAATCTTCCGTCACCGTTCGGACACAAAAGGCGCGTTTACACGAATTGTTCGAGCTGGTTTTCATTCACTTGCCACTTGCCTGTCGTCGCTTTTACCACGAATAAAGCGTAACAATTGTTGGGATTATTTAAAAAAAATATCGTTACTTCTATTGGGCATTTATTTGACATTTCGTCCGGTACTTTACGATAGTACAAATGACAGCTTCTTCTCTTCGCAAATATTTATAAACTATATTCGGTGGGCAATGTTCCCAAGGGCACTAGCTCATACCCAGAGACGCCAAACACTTATTAAAGGAACTACAACACAGTTACTTTGTGGAATACGAACGCAGACGAGTACAAGAAGTAACAACGAAGTCCTCCGTTTAATTGCTTCTCATTTACTTCAAAGCTTAATTAACCGTGTAAACGCACCTTAACGGACGACTGTCGAACCGTTGCTATGCGGGGGTGCGACGGCCAAGTTCGAGCGTTCGCCGTGGAATGGCGCCACCGTTAGCCTCGGACGGCCGAAGTGAAACGCAGGCGACTACGAATCGATATTGGCCGCGATTGAGGGGCTGAAACGCGACGATAATTTTGCGTAAAAAGCGCACCGCGTGTACTTTCCACCCCCCACCCCTCGCTGGCGTCCCCGACGTACGTCCACATTAACCGAATGAAATTTTTACGGCTCGCCGTTCAAGATATAGGACGGGTGAAGTTTACGAGTGTTCGGGGTGGGTTTTTTTACGGTCTCGTTTACGACCCGAGGCTGGCATATTAACCCATCGTTAGGGGGCGGTTATGGCGCTTTTATACGACGGCCGTAATCCCAGGGTTATTTTTGACGTTAACGAGGGGTCGCGGATCGCGGGTGCTGCCATCGATCGGGCGGTAGCGGTACCACAAAGGGTGGAAAACTCGAAACGACGAAGCCAGGTCAAATGTCAAAAATGTGTGCCTGAAAATACAGTTAGTAAATGTGCGAGTTTGATTGTATAGAGCTCCTTGATATGAAGGAACTTATGAAGTAACTATGAGAAAAATATTGATATGATTGTGCGTGAATCAGATCTAGCGATGTTCAAAAACCAACATGGCCTTCTATGTCAACTGCCTTCTCGAAATACGTCAAGATCCCGTTAATTGTCGTAGGAAAACGTGTCATGCGGTGCGGAGATCGCCGTTAGAGAGAAAATTGAGGAAAGTACAGGTTAGTCTACAACGTAATGGTATTTCAAAAGAAAACACACTCGATTAAAAAAGAAGCGCAAAAAGAAACTTTGGCGTACCGTGGGTACCAAAATGGGCGTAACCGGTACTTTAATTGCTATTTAGAGACAAGAAACTCTCAATTCGCCAAAAATTGCTGTCAAATTTTACGTCAAAAATCTCACAGCATTCGACGTCTCCTCTGATGGGTCAAAAATTTTAAGCGTGGTAGTATAAAATGCGATAGGTATGTCGGTCCGGTAATATTAAGGGTTTGTCGGATATCTTTGGTTTTTTGGTACGTAGCTACTCTGTGGTTAGATAATAATAATAATAATCTTTATTGAGGTGTTTTTAGTGTTGGTATGAATTCAGCCTAATATACTTAGCACATCTTAAAAGGTAAAATTTAGCCTAACATCTTGTTACTTTCGAAAATCGGTGAAATCGAATTTTCGAAAGTGTCTGCGCTCGTATAAAAATGTTATATCTCGGTAACGGTAAGTCCTACGGGATCGCCGTTGGCACAGAAATGATTACTGTCGAAAGAAAATTTTTTTTTTGTCTGTCCGTTCTCCGTTCTCGTCTTTTGGTTTTTCCTGAATAACTTTCCAACCGTTGCCTCCTTTTTAACCCTCCGCGAGGCACAGAAGCTTATAAGAAATGAAAATGAAAAGAAAGAATATGTCGAAATCCCGTTCAATTTTCAGGCAAAAATGGAATTAAGGTGTAGAAAGTGTTGTTAAAAAAAATGGCGACAAGTGCAGAGTTAATATTATGCTGAATGGATCGGCGTCCTTAGTATAACTCTGTAAGTATTTTCGCGTTTTGGTTCTTTAAGCGCTGTAGACGCGATACCAGCTAATTTTTCCCAAATTTGTGTCAGTAAATCGGCGCAAACAGTGTGTTTTTATAAACTTATCGGTTTAACCTCTATTGAAAATGTAATTTGACTATAGAAACCACTTTTAAATCTTTTAAATTAACTTGTACATAAGGCAACACTTAACCGTATACAGGCACATTTTTTTCTTCGCGGTTTTGACCACAAACACAACAAGTTTTTCGCAAAAACACGAAAAAGGTGCGGAAAGAATCATAACCACCAAAAATGTAAACAACAATGACGCAGTCTCGGGCAATAGCAGTTCCTAGTTCGGCGTTGCCAATTATTATCCGATTTCATGCGTTCTTATGAAAATTAGTCAATTTTTTCAGGAAGATTACGGAAATGTGACAACTCAGTTAGCTGGGGCGGGACGCATGCACACCTTCCCTACGGCGCATCACTTTTTACCGTAATAGGGCCACTATATTATCTTATAGATGTATCCTTAAATCGCTTGTTTTGTGAATGTTCATGGCCTTCTTGTACGAAATGTACTATGGGTTCGTTTCGATAGTTCGGGCTCTCCCAGGCCCACCGCGGGTCCACAAAGCCGTCATTGTTACTCGATTGTCGCGGTCTCTTATCGTCGACGACTCTTCGAGGTCACCCTTCGGCAGGGGGGCGGGACGCCCATTATCCAACTCCCTGCGGGGATGCTGCCGCTGCCGCCGCCGCCGCCGCGATCGATCGACCGGCCGAGAAAGCGTGAACGTAAGCGGCGGGGTGGGGGCAGAAACCACCCGGCCCCGTCCACCCCCGGCGGCTTTCAGGTGACAAAAGAACCGCGTAGTTTCTAATCCCCCCGCGTCCGAACGCCGCCGCGACGCGTTCGTCTCGCTCTGATCGCGCGGTCACAAATTCACACCGATTTGCAAAATAAAATGAAAAAAGATGATCGCTAACAAGTGAAAACTTTGGCACTGGAAATTTTCATAACTGGGACGCCCTGTATATTTTTGACTAAACCCCGAAACAATATTTTGCGGCAAAACGTAAATGGTTGAGTTTGCGAGGTAGTATTTAAATCCATCGCGATTCACTCAGAAACTCTTCAATTTTCAGTTTTTCGCCCTTAACTGGGACACCCCGTATATTTTTGTCTAAACTATATTGTCGGATCATTGCCCCGGATCTCGCGCGTTTTCCGGTTTTCGAGTAAATCTTTTTTTTTGTCGTACTCGAAACAAAATTTTCAAAATATTTTGAAAAATACTTGGCAACTTCCGGTCCAGCCCAGTTGCAACAGGCTACATCCGGGTACATTTCATACAGTATCGAGGTTCAGGCTGTTATTAAATATTTTTTTTGTTTTCCTGTCCCACTGTGCATTGTTTTCCGCGACCGGCACGCGTCCCGATACCTTTTTACCCCCCCCCCCCCCCCCTCTCCAGCCCGCTCCGATCGTCGTCGACGATTTCCAGGAAGGCGGGGGGCGGGCCCCTAAGCCGCCCCCGCCGTCGTCGAGCCGGTGTTTTGTTAATCCCGGATTAGTCGAACGATCCTTTCGTTTCCCATTCGATAAATCCGGGTTTATTTCGCGGATTTCTGGGAATTTCCGGCGTTCGGGTGGGGCGAGGGACGCGGGACGGCGTCGCTTCGGTTTCTTCGGGTCGCCCTGTAGACGGACGATCGGTTCCGGTCGGACGCCGCTGCAGCCGCCCCTTCCGCTTCACGGATCGCCGCCCCCGAGCGGTGGCGGCGCGCTGCATTGGCGCCCAACGGAGCGTTCGGGGTTTGCCGGCGTGGAAACTCTGCCTCCGAAGCCGCCCCCCGTGCCCCCGACTATTGGGCGTACCGCTTGGTTCACTTGGGTCCAGTTAGCATTATGGTTACTTTTCGGCAGTTGTCGCCAAATAAACTTGCGTGCTGTTGGGCTCTTGATTTACAATTACTGCTTTTTAGGCTTGGCATTGTAAAATAACTCCACGAGTCAAATTAAACTTTTTTTTATTACTAAAAACATTAGCAACTCAATACTTATTTTTTAATAATAATGGGTACGACCCTATCTTGCCCTAATAACATCTCTTACTCGATTAGGCGTAGATGGAATCAGTTCACTGTTATTGCTTGTGTAGTGTTAAGCCACTCTTCCCCTGCTGCAACAATAAGCTCTGCGTACGAAGCTCAAATTCTCCGTTTCAGCTCAACCCATAAATGTTCGATCGAATTGAGGTCGGGACCGCATGCTGGCCACTCCATACCTCGAAAACCGAGTGTTGTGTAATCTTGCGGTGTGCTGCTAAGTATTGTCATGCATATG